TTCCTTTTGTACGAAAATTGGAAATCTATCAGGATTCGATATAAATAGCGCACATTACAGTAGACTGGCACACGAAGTTCTGCATAAATAAGGACAGTCATTTATGCAAGAGCAGAACAATTCAAAATGTCAAAGAAATTAGCAGACTACTGCACCTGAGCTGTTAGTGCTCTGTGCCCTCTATTTTAACAGAACAATAAAACGCTTTTGCATGCATCTCATTATAATAAGATACTATGTAATAGAGTCTTTCCCATTCAGCTGTATAAACACACAAAATTGTGAGAACTGTTAAGGGTTTGTTGTTTTTTCTTTTAACAAGGATATTTATGATATAGTACCTATGGCACATTTTTCAATGAAACTGTTATTTGGATTTAGTTGGGGGATTTTGCACTTTACCTAGCTGGACAAGTAGCCTTGTACTGCTGGTTTAAGATAATCTCATTTTCACCAGTCTTCTTGGATTGGACTCCTTTTCGTCTTGGGCCATACTGGCACTCCATTACAATCGCCCTGCTGCCTGTAAGGCCAACATTAACAGAAAAAGCATGGTATGAACAGACTCCTTTGCCCAGAGTGAATACATAAATCTTGAGCTCCCATGAATCTCTAACAACTGCATGTATACTGCACAAAGGCTAAGCATTTCAAATGTACAAAAGAATATAGTTTTTGTTTGAAGGTGCACACAATTTGCTTTCTTTTAGCTAAAGGTTTACATGAACTACTGACTGGTTAGTTTTAAAAAGGAAATAGAGTGAAAACATAAAAGGTTGTTTGTCCCGGCTCACAGGAAAAATATTCGGTTTGTGTGGAATCAGACTTTGCATTTCTAGACAACTCAGTCAAACCTTGAGGTGGAAAGCACCTCAAAAAAGAAAAAAACTAGATTTCATGATCTTCTGGGTGAAAACAATTCCTATCTCTTCGTGTTGTGAAGGGATTGAATGTTCCAGTTTTTTACATCTACTGAGAGGCATTAAAAACACAACAAATGTTAGTGTTTCTTATGCTCATTGGTTGCATTTTCAATACATTTCAGTGCACATACTGAGCGACAAAAAACTATACAGAAATGTTTTTAGAAAAATCAACTAGACCTGATTTTGGATAGCAAAGTGTTTTGGGCAGCATCACAAGCTCAAATGACTTTGGTTCTTGCATATGGGCAGAATGATCTGCTTAAAAACCTGACTTGCTGAACATGAAGAAAATCAAGAAGAAAAAACACAGAAAGGAACCAACGTCCTGCTTATCAATACTCTTGTGTCATCAGTAGTTTGGAGGCTGGACTAAGTCAGTACTCTGCCGATCACAATCTGGTCAGTCAGGTTTCAAATTTGTCACAAAGTTACAGCCAAACAGTCTGCCATGTTCTGGGTATTCCCTGATCACGCCACCTTACCAACCTCCACATAAAATAACTTGTCATTTTCAGTTCATTTTCCTGATGAGAACTTTGTTGCAGTTTCTTACGATAATCGGCATACAATCTGTAAAGGAACAAGTAATAGGTTTATTCCATGCTGAAAAAAAGAAGAAGAAAGAGAACACAACGTTTCGGCCGTGGAGCCTTCTTCATACAATCTGTAATGTTCAAACCAGACAGGGAATCCCAAAACAGGTCAGTGCATCGCTCACCTACTAAGCAGAGTAAGTGAGCAATACTGGGAACTATCTGAACTCTTGTTGCGGAGCTCTCTTTAGGCGTGTCACCTGCCGAAACGGTGCGTCTCTTCAGCATGAGAATAAACCATTACCTGTTTCTTGGCAGCCTACACATGCTGACACAGATCCCTATGTGAACTCTGATTCTGATACATGTTAAAAACAAATGGGATGGGAATATTTACGACTGCAGTGGGGTCAAGAGTTTTTTTTGCTAAAATACACTCTTATGTTAAGATAACCCCTTCCTGGTTGAAGATCCTTTTCTTCACGTCCAACAGCAAACAAAAGCCGACTTCTTATACTCCTTCCTCGCTATAAGCTGCTCTCTAGGAGGGGGCGGCCTGGCGCCTTGCGGGTCGTGGCTCAGAGACACCGGGCATGCAGAGGAACGGGGACCTGCCTGCGTTGACGAAGGGGATGCCGTCGTAGGGCACGTACTGGGACTTCCACATGAGGCGGGTGGCCGGCTTGGCGGGGGAGGGAGACTGGCGGGTGCCCCACACGCTCTGGGTCTGCTGCTTGTGCATGGTCAGCACTGCTTCCAGCTCCGCCTCACTGGTGCAGTAGCCCCGGTACGAGTCCCCGATTTTCTGGTTGGGCGGTAAAAAAAAAACCGGCCAGGGGTTTCTTCCTCCGACGTGGTTATCTATGAGTGGGCTGCGGCGGAGCGCTTGATAGCTAAGGCTAGCCAGGCGATATACCAATGGATCAACCCTTTCATTTCAATTCAATTCAGTTTTATTTGTTGGCGCTTTTTACAATGGACAAGGTCACTAAGCAGCTTTACAGATTTCCGGGCCTGATCCCCCCAGTGAGCAAGCCTGAGGCGACAGTGGCAAGGAACAAGTCCCTCAGATTAAAGTAGGAAGAAACCTTGAGAGGAACCAAGGCTCAAAAGGGGAAGCCTATCCTCCTCTGTCCGGCACCGGGTTCATTAAAGTGTACAGCTATGAAAGTCGTCTGTTTTGTATTACATGGTGGGAAAAGCAGGCTAGTATTTTTATCTCAGTATGTATGGTAATGTCTAACAGTGTCCAGAATGTTCAGTTAGTTTCCTTTGGTTGCGATTTTCACTGGGAAGCCTTTCTGCTGTAACCACGTTGTGACAGATCCCCCCTGACTGGTTGCATCGCATGGAAATCTGCACATAAACTGCCCCCATTATAAAGGAGCTTAGGTGGCTGATTTAACGATGCCTTCGCACCCTACTGTGAGTCCCGGTGAATGCCTCCTAGTGGAAACAGTGGAAAATTCAGTTGAATCTGTGTGGTCTGGCCGCCAAATAAATGTCTTCGTTTTACCAGCGGCTGACACAACTCCAGCCGTTACTAAAATCGCAACAAGATTGTAATTTTAGCCTAAACTGAGAAAGAGAGGAGTTTCTGTTCATGTACGTCGGGTTTCTTTTTCGCGCCGTTCTCTGGAAGTGTCGTAAGTACGCTCAAGTTGCTGATTGGATTTTCATGGGGAAAACAAAAGAATATTACATGGCACCACATCCAACAATGAACAAAACGTGAACATCGTCAGGGTATGGCAGGAAACAGGAAGCATTTCGGAAATCTATATTTCAGTCTCTAAGGCGTCCTAAGTGTTAAATCTGTCTTCAGAATGCGATGTCGCCCTGAGATCTTGGTGTCTCACTGTTAGGATTAGACAACCCTCTTTTATAGATCTTTTATAAGTATAAATGCCTTTCATAGGGTGGCTAATCACAAGTCTAGCTAATTTCTTGATTTCCTCATGAGAATGTAGCATGTGGAGTGTCTCATCGCCGCTCTCTGGTGGCAACGGTCGAGTTCTGAACAATTCAAATGTGGCACAGCCCTAACTTCAATCATTCTGCAGCTTAATGAGAAACTTTCACTAAAGGCACTTCTGTTGCATGATGGCTGGAAGAGAAAAAAATTCACTTCACAGCTGCAAGTAATGTCTGATAGAAGGCAGCCATGCGCTGACAGATTTTTAAATATTAATTTCGCTGAGAACTTGTTAGGATGTGAACAGTTTAGGAAATATTACAGGCATGCTGCTTACACTGTTCTTGCAAATCAAACAGATGTGTAGCAGAACGCTAGTCAGAAACCCACTGATTGATGGCTAAAGTCTCCCAGGCCTGTATGACCTGAAGGCAGCCTCAGCGAGAACAGTAGTTCAGAGAGTGTCTGTAGCTCCTGCACTACACTGACCTCACAATTCCGCAGTCTCTGGGCCCAAGCAGGAGTGCTGGGCGGTAGCAGCTGTAGAGGCACTGTGAAGCACTCAGTCGAACTGTGGAGGATATAAAAAGACCACGGGGAAAGCTGCATGAAGGCTGGAAACAACTGCAACTTGCTGCCTTTTGACAGGGGATGTTAACACTTCTTTAAAGGGTGTTTTAACTAAATCACCGCTTAAAGCACTTAAGTCCAGCTGCCATATCACCCTGCAACTCACAACTGGCAGCCGACTGAAGCTAAGCAGGCCTGGTCAGTACCTGGAGAGGAGACCTACTGGGAAAAACTAAGGTTGCTGCTAGAAGAGGTGTTAGTGGGGCCAGCAGGGGGCGCTCATCCTGTGGTCCATGTGGGTCCTAATGCCCCAGTATAGTGATGGGGACGCTATACTGTAAACAGGCGCCGTCCTTCGGATGAGACGTAAAACCGAGGTCCTGACTCTCTGTGGTCATTAAAAATCCCAGGGCGTATCTCAAAAAGAGTAGGGGTGTAACCCGGCGTCCTGGCCAAATTTCCCATTGGCCCTTACCAATCATGGCCTCCTAATAATCCCCATCTCTGAACTGGCTTCATTACCCTGCTCTCCTCTTCACTGACAGCTGATGTGTGGTGAGCGTTTTGGCGCACTATGGCTGCCGTTGCATCATCCAGGTGGATGCTGCACATTGGTGGTGGTGGAGGGGAGTCCCCATTACCTGTAAAGCGCTTTGAGTGGAGTGTCTAGAAAAGCGCTATATAAGTGTAAACAATTATTATAATTATAATTACTATTATTAAACTGTCAGTGCATAAATGGCGAAAGAACTACTGCCAAGAGAAAGAAAACTCCCTGCTGTTTGCTTCAGAGAAACCATGCACGGCAAATTCTAATGTTTCTCAAACGTTTGAGAAAACAGCTTCATAAGTATACGTCTATATGAACTATAGTGTAACACCATCAAACCTTGTTTTATTCTCAATGAGCACATAATGAATTAGTATCTTTGCATGGGTAGTTAGGCAATTTGGCCTGTAGTAACAACATGGGAGTAGTGGATAGGATTACAACGAAAGAGTTTTGGTTAAAAAATTTGAATTGCCCGTTATTTTCTATAACATATGCACCGTTTTTGGGAATCACCAATTGTTTCGTTACTATTTGGCTCCCAAGAGCTACTGGTGAGAAGAGCAAGCTTAATCTTTTGACAAGCCAACAAACTCCCTGGCTTACATCAAAAGTTAGTGCTGACTGGAGGAGTAGCGCTTCAATCATTAATGTCAATGCAAACCTGCAGATGCCTGGGACATCACTGGAGCTGCTGGTTTTGTTTTTTGCTAAGAGCCAAGAAGGCCTTAGCAAAAAACAAAACCAGCAGCTCCAGTGATGTCCCAGGCATCTGCAGAGCCAAGAAGGCCTTAGGCAATTGATTCCAATGCTTGGTGCCACTTGGAGAATCACAGTATCCCAGCAGCCTAGTGATGTCAAGCAGGCTCAAACATATGATGCCTGGACTGCAGAACTCAAACTGCACTTACGGGAAAAACCTTTACCCAGCTGAGCAAAACTCATTACAATTCACAGCAATGGAAGAAATACTGAAATACAAGAGTCTGGTGCCAATATGGTAAATACGCTTCTGATCATTTATTTGCGTAGAAGATACCCTTATCGAGGACATTTTTCAAAATATAATATAGAAAGTAAAGAGAAAACAACAAAATGTATACACATTAGCACTACGTGAATCACTCATGAAGTACTCATGAGACTTCACCAAGCACAGACTCAATGGATGCACTACTAAACAACAGGAAACTTAAAAAAAACTGTCTCAAACAAGGGGAAACCCACCTTAGCGCTGGGTTTTTGGCCACAGTGCTGACTGGCTGCATCGGTACCACATAGTTACTAGTGCTATCTGCTATTGCCGTCAGTGCAACAGTCTGTAATTCATCCCTGCTGACTTTATCTTCGCAGGAATCTGAAACACAATTAAAAAGGACACGAGAAAGATTAGGTAGAAGGAGGCACGGTCAATTTCTCCTTCACAATACGAAGGGATAAGAAAGGAGAAAAGGGATGAGAAAGGGATATGAAAGAATGAGAAACTGTAAGTTCCTCTACACAATATGAAGTCCATCATTCCATCCATAGAGAAAGTTCAAGTCGGTCGCCAATCTATGCCCGAGCGTGTGTCTCAGCAAATTCACCGCTAGATCAGACCGTATGATGCTCCTAGAAATCGCAAAGAACCCCAAAACTGTAGCAGTCTTTTTGCTACAGCCAGCGGTTGCAAAAAGACACACTTAAAAGAAAAAAAACATTAATGCCCACTTCTTACAAAATGGGAAAAACACAGAAACAAGCAAAAGATCTTATGAAGAAAATCATATAACAAGAACAGGTCCATACACCCCCCAAGTTAAGCATTACCGTCTTAAAAATAATTTTATCACAGTATAAAACTTGGTCTTGAGAATTCCCATAGCCTGGGTGTAGTAGGGCTATTCCTATTATGAGCAACCAATTTCCTTTTAACACACTTTCAACTCAGAACACACGTCCAACTTCCTGAACTTAATTTGAAATGATGACTGAGGTCAGTCTTATTGCCTTTCCGTTCTGCAAATCTCAAAGCAAATTTGGTCTCTTATGTCTTTCAGCGAGACTGAAAAGACAGGGTTCCCTTTCCATCTCAGTGAAATGAACGAGAGGCAAAAGTTCAGTCCTCATAACTTATCCCCCTACGCTTTGAACATTTGCTGTCTTCCTTTCCCTGTTTATGACTCAGGAATCAGAACCATATTCCCGATATGTCATCACCATCTGGAAGTCAGCAACAACAAGCTGTTATTTCTCCTTTGCCGATAAATGGCGACAAATGCAAACTGATTGAGACCGATTGCAGTTGCAGAATTGTCAAAGCACAGCTATTCAGCTGCATGGTGTGCGCAGTTTCCTGTTACATGCCTTACTATGAACACAGATGTAGTGTCTCTTTGGGGTTTAGGATGTCATAAGCACAAAGGGAATGGGGGAAATGGATCGTACTTGGCGTATGTGTTATGTCTAAGAGTTGTCCCTGAGGTAGTAAGACTTGTGCCGCTCCCAGCTGGCTGGATGGAATCACATAGACCTGTCCATTCTCCGACTGGCCAGCGAAAATCATCTGTGGGGAAAAAAAAAGAAACAGGAATTACCATAAAGCCACAGGAGTTATATTTGTTATTTTCAGACGTTTTGTTTGCTTAGAAAACCAGGTAATAGGTGCACTTACTGAGTCCTAGCCTGAATGGAAACTTTCAGTGACATGAGCCTACTCTGAATGCTACAGTCAGGATTTCCACCAGTAAGGCCAGAGAACAGAAATGCGCAACTGTGCTGGGAGCACAGTATTGCCAGGAGGTTTCAGGAACAGAACAAACAACAAGGGAGTATTCCTTAAGCTTTTCAAGGAAAAAAAAAATACTTTGCTTTAGGAAGCAGCTTTTGGTACTGTAATTTAAACAGAAATGAACTGGAAACAAATTATTTGCAAAAAAGGGATCATGTGGACATGGGGCCACATGCGATTATTTGCTAGCCAAACACACACAAGAAGCACAAGAAGATACAAAAGGTTTCAAATGAGAGGCCCATCTAATTGGTCTGGTGGTCTACAAGATCTCATCCTGTCATTTCTTGAAAAAAAAAAACAGGGTATCAGCTTCAACAACATGGCTGGACACCTTGTTCCAGACTCCCACAAGCCTTTGGGAATTTTTTTGGGGTAAAGAAAACCCATTTTCTTTGGGTAAGGAAGCTGTTCTCGCCTTTTAAATGCATGTCCACGTGTTTCTGTCACTAGCTCATAGTCTTAACCGAATGGCTTTAGTCAGCCAAACTGACTGGCACTGATTCAGACAGAGAGAGTGGGGTGCTGCTGACCATTCGCTCGTACTGCACTGGGCGCCCATTCTGATCAAAAATGATGAGTTCGTCAGCCTGATTCGGGGGTGCTGGTTCCGGGGGATGCTGGGATGCCTGGGAATCTTCAGAAATGTGCACAGTAATCGGGAAGTGCTGATGACCCAGGCTTGGCTTGCTGGGACTTATGCATGGCATCTGCGAGACAAAACACATTAATAATGATTTTCGGATCCTGGGTAATAGATGGAATGATACACCTTGCATTTAAATGGCTTCCATGACCACTTTCTCTAAAGCAGTGATCATTTCCATACATTTGTGTATAAGTGCGTGTAGTGAAAAACGATGCACCGCTGGTAAGATTTTCAGAGCTCTTGGTTTTGTAGAAAAACAACCACTATTTTGTTTTGGAAGAAATATGGTGGCCATAGAGGCTTAAAAAAGGCTCAAACCTGCAGGTACAGACAACAAGACACCCTGTTTCACTACATGGCACTGCATGAAATATCTAGAATACTCAAGAGTGGGACTTAGCGCTGTTGCCTCACAGCTCCTGTGGTTCAATTCCAGTCTCGGGTGCCTTCTGTGTGGAGTCTGCATGGTCTCTTCAAATTCATAAACGTTTTTGCTGGGTTCTCTTGACTTCATCCTACCTGTTAAATCTATTCTAGCTGGATTGGCTGGTGTCTGATGTCACGCTCTCCAGTTAATATTTTAATGACCGAATCAACTGCATCAATTCGCATAGAGCTAGACAATCTGATCCAATCCTATAATTATGTTTTAGGTGATTATTACTAAGAGACATTTGTAGACAGGTAGGTGATTACAACCCAGTAGGTCCTGTCCCAGCGGTGCGATATCCCGTTACCTGGCAGGGGTGATGCTCACACTCCGATTCGTCTGCAACACCGTCTTCACCTCGCAGGAGCTCACTTCCGGTCTCCGCACAGAGCTCATTCTCTTCCATGTCCCATCAGCCTGTTTAGAGACGAACACTCTTTCACACCCTGTCCCCACACCCCATCCCCCCTCACACACACACACCCTGCTCCTACTCACACTTCACAAAACTCGAGGTCATGCTGGAGGGGTTGAGCATGTCCCGGAGAAAAGCTCAGGAAGAAGAGAGCATGCACGGACGAATATTCTCCTTCTATTTGTGCTGCCAGTTGGAAGACAACTGGCAAACTGCTTCCACCATTAAGGGAGGTAAAAAATAAAAGGGCCATTTTACCACTGTGAAAGACTGAGTTTCCTAAATCTATAAGAGACTTTTACAGACATTTGAGATAGTAGTTGCTTTTTTTTGGGGTGGGGGGGGTGGGGGGATGATTGAATGTCTTATGCATGCACAGCAGAGATGGGCATTCTTCTGAGTGCTGGTCTTGAACAACGCAAGGACAGGTCATCACTGGACAGCAGCAAAGTACAGTACTTGCTACTGGACACTGCTGCAGTTAGCATGTGTTGCCAAACTAAACAAACCCTGAGGCGAACAGTGTTAAGCGCTGTGGATGCTTTCCGCTGCACTACCCCAAGTGGTCTGGAAAAAAAAGAAATTGAGACTGTCCAATAACGCGAACAGGACCTTAGTTAAGGTTGCCCTGCACTGGTTTATACAGCAGAAAACCTGTACAGGGTTTAAAAACATGCTTAGCTTCCCTGAGGAAAGAATGTGGGATTTACTTGAGAATCCTCTAACAGGAGGAAAGTAAAGGAATCTGAGCTTGTGAATTCTGTGTAGACTTGCTAAAGCAGATTTTGCGCTAGAAGCCGAGACTGTGAATAAGCCCTCTGGAAAAGTGAGATTCTTTGTCAGCTAAGACTTATCTCAGACGTGCGTGAGTGATGTTTCGTTTTCTCTGCATCCATTTTAGGTTTGGGATTCTCTTTCGAATTTGCAACTTAAAAAGACTGGCGGATCTTCATTTCGAGTATTTAAACTAAAAGGTCAGAGACTTATCTGGGTTGAGGAGTGTAAAAATGACCATTTGGGCCATTCTAATTCAGTGATCCATCAGATAAAAGACTTTTTGTTGCAGTTTGATATCAAATTGGAAGCTTCACAGAATCACTAGACCTGTTACAAACATGTGGCTCATTTAGTCCATTTGGTAGTTAGTAGTTAATTGATTCAGGTATCTCATCCAGCCATTTCTTGAAACAACAGGCTTTTTTATATTTAGAAAAACTATGTGAATTTCACATTGATCAGTCTGAGAATCTCTGATGACCATTAAATATTTATTAAATTCCACACTAATACAATGCGTGACAGGGAAGGATATTAACATCAATAGTACATACTTGCAGCAAGGTTTATGTACAATTTGGTTTCGATTAAAGCAAAATGTAAAAAGACAGATCCATGCTTTCAGAAAACACTGAAGGGCCAGAAGATACTAACTTCTAATGTGACTTAACTCCCAGCACAAAAATCACAATGGGACTGTGGGCATAATAATACATGGCTGCTGATATGTCTAATTTGATTTTAAAGCATTAAAGTAACATAAACTGAGCATGGTTTTCAAAGAAAGCAGCTTTCTGCTAGAAGTATACAAGCCATTTAAATTTGCTTCTTAATGTTAGACCCAGTCAGTTCCCTCTAAAGCCAAACATCTAACAACAAACCTTTTGCAAGAACTACGTTTTTATCAGTCTAGCCAGAAACCTCGGAAATGAGAAAAATATATTTCTTTGGCGTGCGGCAATGGACGCCAAGTTATGTAATAAAAAGTATCACTTTTACTACAAGGTTTAAATACTTCACTTACAGTAAAACACACTAAGCCACACCCTTACACGCTACTGTACGATTATAGTTATTTGTAATTAAAACCACAATTTCTTGAAGCCATGCTCCCTCATTTTGTCCTAACTTTACATATTCAAAGGGTCCCGCCTTAACAGGCACCTTTACATCTACACGTAATATGAAAAACAAGTTTTATTTGATCAATCGAGTACATTAAAAAATTAGTAGGAACCCCCCTCTTGTGCAATGTAAAAAAAACGGAACAAAGACCCAGCATCAACATGTAATATCAAGAAAATTAAATTACAGTCTGTCAAACAAGACGTAATGTTCTAAATTATGATGGTATTTCTTTTTTTTATCGTTTGAAGGGTGTAACGTGCGCTCTGCGACAAAAATCACGGTATGTAGTCGGATTTTATTTTAAAAACAAAACGGGTTTTAAAATAAAAAGCGTCAACTTTTCTTTGGGTCACCGTTCTGCAGCGCCCACAACATCTTTGATGTGTAGTTGTTTTGTTGATCGGGATCGAATGTGGAGTATTAATACTATCAACACATTCACAAAATACTAATTTAAGGATAGAGAATCAGTACGATAAACGAAATAATCCAAACACAATTCTTTCTTCTACACACAAATCGGTTCGTGCAATAGCTTTTTCAATCGCGGTTTGTTTCAATATTTACGTTAGGCACACGTGTATTTCCTACAAGGGCTAGTTTGCTACAAACGATAAAACAACAGCACATTGAAAAGGCATAAAAAGTTAATCATCTGTTGCCAAAGCCTTCGGCAAACACAAATCTAAAATGCACAACGAAAACGCTAAACCTTTGTTGTTAAACATAGCAAAACAGATTGGTAAGAACGCCATGTTGGATGATGCAGTAATAAAATCGCAAGAGTTAAGAGGCCAACAGGGGGAAAATACCACCAAAAAAAGAACACAGATTTTCTACACCCGAGTACCGCCTGCCCCTGTCTCTTTAAACCGCTTCCTATGTGGCATTCAGGAATGGAAATAAACAGAGGAAGGACAGAAATTTCAAAACGAGTCTACTCAACCTCGTCTTCACCCGGGCTTCGCTCGCTGCTCCACCGCGGAGCCAAAACGCGAACTTGAAAACGGCTTGAGAGAAAAGAGACTTTATGGTACAGGCGGGCCACCGTACGCCTTGTTCCTCCTATTATAGCAGTAGTGGGAATATTTTGTCCATGAGCTTTATGTTGGGTTTTTTTTGTGTGTTTTGAGCTCTGTATATGTTGTTTCATACGGAAAACAAAACAAAAAAAAACATTTCACTTGTAAAGTTCTTAAAGAATTGCAATCACAGAGTTTAATTTGTACAAACTAGCCGCATTGCAAGATTTGAATGGTAGATCTCCGCATTGACCTTAGTTTCAAATTTAAAGGTAGAAATATAATTCGTTTTAACTTGTCCTTTATGTTAACAAAACTGAGAGTGGAAACGGATTTTCTTTTCCCTTCTTTGCCTGTCAGTGGAGTTTCGTGACACTCCAAAACAACTAATTCACGATAGACGTCTTACATATCGCTAGGCAGTGCTAATCAACAGTGGTCTGAAAGCGATTTTTCTGCGATTGATTTGAAGTACTAAGATCACAGCGCACGCTGCATAGGGAACCACATGGTGCGCGTTTCATCACGGCAGTCGCTGCGTTGTGTTCAGAGCCGTTTGGGATTTCATGAATGTAAAAATAAAACAACAACAACTAAGACATACTTTGTAAAAAGACGGTAACTTCATTAAGACTGCAAAATGTCACAGCTACAAGCGAGGTTCTTCACAGAAAATAAGAAGTAAGTGTGCCTTCTAAGTTACGGATGTGCGTGTCACACTACTTGAATGCAAGGCTTCAGATGTATACCGTGATGTAAATAATATTAAACGTCAGTTTTAACACGTATACGCCGTTATATAAAAGATTAATACATTTGGCGCCAATTTAATATGTTTTGAGAAACTCGTTAACTATTGAGTTTAAATTATTCTGTTATAACCAGTTAAAATGAGGCTCCCTGCTCTCTGAGTTCTGTAGTTATCCGAACGGGATGTTTTCATATACGTTTTAGTTTTCTTGCACTGTTATAGCGATCAGGTTTTTTTTTGGGACATGAGAAGCCTTTAGTGAATGTGACATTTCAACAGGATAAGAAATATTTTCCACGAAGATCCACGTTCGGGTTTAACTGTATCTCTGTCAACGATTAAGATCGTAACGTTTCGTAAATTTCGTAAAGAAAATTGCAGAAAATTCTTTACGTAAGCACGCTGCAACATTGTTTAATTACATTTTTTAACCACTGTTATTTTCATGAAGGTATGCAGTAGACGAAGTTCCCTTTTCAATTCCTGCCTCTTCAGAAATTTTGGATCTGAGCAATGTCATCAACAAACTTTTGGAAGCTAAACATGGTAAGAATGCAGGCTTTATGCCATCGGCACCTTAAAACTCGCTTTTTTAAGTGAATCATTCTTTTGAAGTACTATAATACTTATATTATATAAATAATATAGTATGTAAGCAAAACATCAGTGATACTGGAAATATGTTTATTACTTAAGTGCAGGGTTCTGAGAGTGCTTTGCTTTTTCTGCAGTAAGCATGTTAGTTCTTAGTTCAGGACATAAGCAATGCGTAGTGTTCATCATGTTCAGTATGTTGGCTGTGTGTATGCAGACCTTGCCTTTTCAATTCAGATATCAAATGAATCCACATGTTCATTTTTTAAACTTTTTCTTAATGTTGTTTCTAGCTTTAAGAGGAATTCAAGTAATCTTTTTAAACATTAAAACCAGATGTTCTTCTGTAGTTGTCTTTGATTTCTGTCTTTCTTGAAGGTCGACATTATGTACTGCTGTATTTGAACTGTTAGGTGAATTAAATTTAAACATCGTGACATCATCAATGCAGTGCTGTATTGTAATGGGTATGAAACTAATGAGCTGGAATTTGGTAGAGAACATGGGAAAACTCATTCTCCACTGCATAACCCTGTTGAGAAATGTGGTTGAGAGCAACCTCTTTAAAATCCATACCTTAATCACTACTGTCTTAAATTGAAGAAGCAATTGAGACAGTCAAGTTAGAACTAATATATTGAATAATGCGCACACGAGTCTTCCCAATGGGTAAGAAACAACACATAGGTTATGAAACTCTTTTAAGGATTTGCTTACAGCATGTTTCTTATCTTCTTTTGGACTTTTGTCTGAAATCTTATGCATAGCTGAAGTTATCAATGAATTGTACAAATTACAGCAGCAGTGTGTGAAAAAAAAACAACACAGCCCCACAAAACGCTTAAACCCAGCGACTGCGCAATAATTCCTCTTGTTTTGAGTACAACTCCTTGGCAAAGGGCACTTTTAAACACTTTCTTTGCCTTTACAGAGGAACACAAGCATGTGGAGTTTGACTTCCTCATCAAGGGCCAGTTCCTACGGATGCCCCTTATCAACCATATGGAGGCGGAGAACATTTCAACGGTATGTAGCGACACTTTAAGCGGGAATTAAAGAAATTGGGTTTTATAATGTGGTTTATTCTTAAAATGTGGAAAGGCGGCTGGATTATGGACTGTGTGTGTGTGTTTCAGGAAGATGTGGTTGAGATTGAGTATGTGGAAAAGTTCACTGCGCCCCAGCCAGAGGAGTGTATGATGCATGATGACTGGATCAGCGCTGTGGAGGCTGATGGGGAATGGTAAGGGCAGCATGCACACACTCACACTCTGCTGGGTCTGAGGGAATGCCCTCTTTACTTTTATTCTATTTTTATTTGCTCCTTCAGTACCTCACCTTCTAAGTGTTCCGTACTTCACTAAAAAGAATCACAAAGATGAAAGTAGACCTGAGAATAAAAACGGCATTTGTATATTTTAACGAAGAAACTGTTATTTTTGATAAAACAAATAATTTGTATTCTGAGGATATCTCCGCATTGTCTGTGTTGTGGAGATATTATCTCCTAAATTTGTGTTCCAAAGCTGACTTACATGTAAACATATGGGCACACCTGTGTTCCTGTATTTGTGGTGATGTCCTGATGATTTTTATTTTTGATCTGTTTTGATTTAAGCTATACTAAATCAAAATAAGGATAACATCCAAAGAAAATGTTTTGGAAATGTTTGACTTACAAGAAAATGCCATGTGGTTTATAATACAAGTCACTTAGATCCTGACAGTGTTCTCATATCATCTGTTTTTTTAGGAGTTTAACTTAATGGAAAATAGGTTTACCACATCCCTTTGCAAAAAGAGACACCAAAATGTTGCAAAATCTAAAAGAATTGTTTGAAGCGAACTGTTGAAGTAGAATCTTGAAATAAGTCACAGTAATTAACTCCTTGGTGTTAAAAAAGGAGGACTTGTGGGAAATGTTTAATGACAGTGGCCAGGTTTATGTAAAGAAAGGTATGAAGCTGACACACCATGCATGTTTCAGTATGTCCACCCTTAATGTGAGACATTTTTGTTTTGAAAGTACAACTGTTAAAATAGATAAACATTCTCTGAATTGTTTTTGACAAATGCAGCTGTCTTTATTGACCCTGTATTTCTTTAATGTCTTCAATGATGCAATTTGAATGCTTTATGTCTGTACAATTCTGCCTCAGGATTTTAACCGGCTCCTATGATAAAACTGCGCGGATCTGGTCTTTGGAGGGGAAGGCAGTGATGACAGTGGCAGGACACACAGAGGTGGTGAAAGATGTGGCCTGGATTAAAAGAGGTAACATCTTCGGTTTTCCCAAATTCCCTGGAGACATGGTCCTTTATTGCACCATGCGCTCTGATCAATTCTGAGCTCTTCCTTAAAGTAAAACAGTAATTTGACAAACGCATATCTTTTATGGGGTGTATTTAATTGTATTCTTAAACAGAAGAGAGGTTTAATTTTAACTGCAAAGTCTTTGTGCAGTTAACTGCTTAAGACCTGGAAACGAATTCCAAGAAGGTCTGTGGGTTCTAGTTAAGATGTTAAGTAAGCCGTTGAGATCTCCGTGAGAACCACAGCCAGCTGTGGTGAATTACACACATCTCGAGCACACAGACATCGCAGTGTGCAGTAGTAGGATGAAATTCATAAGTGAAGACTAGTTAAAGTATAAAAGTAAACTAGCTCTTAGAAAAGCCTGTTTATAACTAACCAATAAAGAAGTGCTGTTAAGTACTGATAAGCAAACTGCTGAGCTCGTGCTAGGGATTGATTTTTAACATCTGGCAATAGAGCTGAAATATACTAATATGTTTTCAACACTTGAGTTACCGAAGTGCATTTAAATCCGTACATTGAAGGGAAGACCTGTTTTTCTTCAACACCATTGTTGAGCTCAAGAGGGGAAACTAGGAGGACACTTAAAGAGTTGTATGCAGCTGACACTAAGCCCTGAAGGTGTGTCCCTCCCTGACAAGCTCTGTGCATTCTGTTGTCTTTGCGGGCGGTGGAGCAGATGGCCTGTCCTCCCTTCTCCTCACGGCCTCCATGGACCAGACCGTGATCCTGTGGGAGTGGCATTCGGAGAGGAACAAGGTGAAGGCCAGGCACTGCTGCAGGGGCCACGCGGGCAGTGTGGAGAGCATCGCAGTGGACGCCACCAAGACTAAAGTAAAGCTCCTCTCCACAGAGGACATCTTCTCTTCCAGCTGACGTTCAGTCGTGGTCTGCACCGCACCACATCTTACGAGAACAAATCCCTCTGGGTAACCCTGCTGGGGGGTTTGTTCTCGAGTAGCTTGCGAACCTCGGCGATTGTTAAATTGTAAAGATCTGCCAAGCTCACAAAAATGAAACTTCTTTTCCTTCTTAGGTACTGCATTTAAGCTGTTGTGCTTCGGATGATGAAGTATTCCACTGTAATATATGTGTAAAGAAAGAACAGTATTTTTTTAGGAACCATGAATTAATTCTAAATGCACTTATCCTTACATTTTTCTCAGTGTACATTGTAGTACACGCTATACTCTAATGATGGAATACATTATTGCACTAGATATTTTTAATTTTAAGAATTAAGAACTATTTGGGTGGGGGGTGTATTGACATGAATCTGCTGTTAAAATTCTGTTCTTATTGATATTTTAAAACGTCTAGTTTTGCAGTGGCTCCTGGGATAAAATGCTGAAGATCTGGTCTGCAGGTAGTTACCTCATTTTAATCAAGTTTGATGTTTTTTTTATTTTAAATTAGGGAATCTGGCAATTTGTGTGCCAGGTATTGCATACAACATGTCTTAAGAAGAGTTGTATGACTCAAAGGCAAAGGGCAGTGTAAAACTTCAATGTCTCGTTGAGTAAATGGCAGTTACAATACATACATGATTTAACTTGTGCAATTTTTCCCAATACACAATGTGGTCATTATAACGAATTAGGACTTGTCAAACATTTGCCACTTAAATTTGATTTTAGACGTAAACACAAACCTTATATATAGGTATAGTGAACTTATGATTTATTCAGTACTAACAAGGCTTTTCAGATATATATTGTGAGTAACTTTTTCTCCAGATTAGACAGTACTCTGAATGTACTAGGCTGTGTTATCTGTCACCTAACTTCACAATTGTTATCAGATCTTCTCAACTCTGAGCTGGGTAGCTTGAGAGTAAAAGGTGTAAACTCGTTTGTAATTATTTTATCGTTATTTTTGACACAGTTCCTACTGAAGAGGAGGATGAAATTCCTGAGCCACCAGACCGACCACGAAAAAAGCAGAAGACTGAACAGACGGGCTTAACTAGGGTGAGGTTTAATGATTTTTAAGAAATCTGCTTATCAGATCTAGTCTAGAAAGTGTCCATATTGGACAAGTCGATTCCTTAGCTAATGTGCAAATGTGTCCTTTTCCTTGATGGTGCCTGTTCTGTTGAGTAAGCTGTAGAAGGTGTATTTGTATTTCCCTGTTTTGTAAATAATCTTTCTGTTTTTAAAAATTAACATGCTGAAATTTGTAACTGACGCACCTCAGATCGGGAGTAGGGTTGTTAAAAAGCCTTGTGTTTCCATCTTTTCTCCAGACACCATCGATGACCCTGTCAGGTCACAATGAGGCCATCTCGTCTGTCCTCTGGTCTGACACCGAGGAGATCTGTAGTGCTTCATGGGATCACACCATTAAAGTCTGGGATGCAGAAACTGGAGGACTAAAATCTACATTGGTATGTTCTTTGTGATAGTGTACTATGAATACTATGATACTATGATAGTACTATGAATACTATGATAAAATAACATAGTTTAAGGGTTTAAAGGTGTATTATTTAAATTTGCATGTTTTTTTTTTAATTCAGGTCATGAAATGAAAGTCAAGGCATGAAATAATTACAGACAACAGAGTAACTTTCAGCCCAACATATTCAGTTGGTTGCCATTGACTTAGTTTTCTTAGAAGCTCATCGTTTTTTTTTCTTGATCACTTAACATGGACTTCTACAAGAAGGGTCGAAACACCCACAGCTCTTTCACTATTGTCCTCTGTGAAGCTTGCAAGTTGTGGATCAGTTGATCCTTTTAGCACCTGTAATGTCATTCTGTATATCTATATCAAATCTCCACCAAGGACTCTTTGTCCCAGGGGAAAGTTTGTTTTGGCCTTTCCACCACTTTAAGCCTTATGTAATACAGAAAAGGCTCATGAATCAAAGGTGAGGATATGAGACAAAAGATTTTGTTCTTTAGAGTCCAGAATAAGAGAATTGTTTTATTCAGCTTGCACTTTTCTGTTTATTAGCTTGGATACTACCAGTTGTCTCATATCATTTTAAGCAAGACAAAAGCAGATCACATAATTTGTTCCTTTACCTTCCATATAACAAGGGTGGTTCAACTAAAACTTGTCGACAAATTTGATATATTTGTATAGTGATGCGTCCAGCCCATTAATTCCTAAGCAAGATGGTTCTTTGCATATTACATCTTTTTTTTAACCTTTTCTGGGACACTGTGTTGCTCTACAGAATGGCCTCCAAGAACTGGTTATTGTTAACTAGCAAACTAGAATTTTATCTTAGTTATATTTAAAGCATTGATGTTTTTGGCATTTTTCCCCCAGCTCCTTTGAAAACTTTAAAAAAGACTGTGGCTGGAAGATTGTTCATCATGAAATTGCTGGAAATTATTTTATTTATTTTTTCTGATTCCAGACAGGCAGCAAGGTATTCAACTCTATATCGTACACCCCACTATGCAAGAGACTGGCGTCTGGCAGCGCAGACAGACACATCCGGCTGTGGGATCCCCGTTCCAAAGGTGACTATCTAGGGAAACTGGGGGAAACCTGTTTGTTTGGCTGGTCGAATGATCCTCACCTGAGAAAAGGCTCAACTGAAGGGATTTCCACAGAGGCATCTGATATGTGGCTCTTTTGTCCTGCTTTCCTAAAGCCTGTCAGGATTAAAGTTTTCTAGTCTTCACTCACCAATGGGACATTCCAATACATCTTATCTTTTTATTGTAATTTTTCGTTTCGTTTTGTTACACCCACCCAATTTTTGCATGTTTCCCCTCGTCTTGACCTGGCTACCAGCCCCGTAACTGCACACAGGTGTGGACGTAGGTAGTCCCTTATGAACTGCCCACCTTTTAGCCTTTTAACACACCTAAGCCCTGTACTGGAGGTTCAGGACAGACTGGAAGAGGGTGTGTCTCTCACAGACGCTAAGTCACACCTTAACCACAGCAGCACTCATGCCAGTCAGTCACAGTCAGCTCATGAGTCTGTCACCATAGAGCTTAATCTGTGTTTGGGCAAACAGGAATTCTTTTTTTTTCTTTCTCTGTGCTTTGTTTGTTGTGCACTATAAATGTATCTTTTTTTTTTAATATCTCAGAAAGGATTTGAGTGCAATGAAATCTGTTTGAGAATAAGTCAGTGATGCACAGCCTTCAGTCTGTGGTGATCCACTCATGGGCTCCAGAGCACTTCGCCGTGTGCAGTTAATGTCCCTCACCATGCTTTTCCCCAGGCAGCTTTGAGAATGCTTTGCAAAAATACTTACAAAGGGAAAATGAGTTGCTTTTACACACATGCATTTGAACGATTAAATGGGTAATTCTGAGGATTTACTAATTAAGCATGTAAGAGCTTGGTACTTTAAATGCTGTTTGTCTCTAGGACTTGAAATGAACATATGTCAATTTCACTGAAGAAAGCCTGGGAGCCTGAAGACAGGACTGCTCGTTTTTTTATTGTGAAATTGAAATTCACAAACACTGGATTATTACAGGAACTAAAGCAATTCCCATTTCAGTTTCTCTGTCCTTGATGATGCTTCTCATTTGGCATCTACCCCCTGGATGCGAGTGGAAGCAGAACCGTGATATATGTAGGATAATGGAGCTGATGTACCCTGAGCTAACCCTCAGTGCTGTGTTTTGTCAGATGGCTCCCTGGTGCAGCTCTCTCTCACCTCTCACCATGGCTGGGTTACTGCAGTGAAATGGTCTCCAACACATGAACATCAGCTTGTTTCAGGGTCCTTGGACAATGTTGTGAAGCTGTGGGACACAAGGAGGTATATACTTTACTAACATAGCTTCATCAGGGCCCTGTCTTGGCAGCATTTTTCTACTATGACCCATCAGACATAGTAGAATGGTTCTTCAGACACCTTTTTTGGGACATTTAATGATCAAACCAGTTGACTGTTCCTATAGTATCATTATTTCATTGGTGTAGGCATCTGTATAGACAGTGACTACCACATTTCCAGCCACCCACATTGCAGAATCGTACTACAGAGAGCACTTTATTTATCTGCTCATTAGCATTGACTGTGTATATATATGACAGTTAAGATATGAGTTGTATTCAGGTTTCTTAGCGTAGGTCAGATGGAGCATGGGTGAAGTCGCATGTTGTTTGCAAGTTTTTTTATAATCATTTATACCAAAAGGAACAGTTTTAATTTCAATTGGGTATTTGTGACAGTGAGTGGCCATTTTACTGAGACATTCTGCGTGAAATTGAACTGAAAGCGAGCCCACCACCACCACTCAGGTGGCCATAGGGCTTAACACCCGGACATCAGTCTGCATCGTATTTAGAAACAACCTGTTCATCTTTAGTGACTAAATAAATTCACGTGCAGTATATGCATTATCTTTGGGCTGAACAGATTAGATATGAAGAGCTCCATGTACTGCTGTTGAATATTTCCCCTCTCTACCCAGCTGTAAAGCTCCCCTGTATGACTTGGCGGCTCATGAAGACAAGGTTCTCTGTGTGGACTGGACAGAAAGTGGGGTAAGAACCTAAACAGGCTTCTCATCATTGTCTTTTTTTTTTCTTTCCTTGACCCTATGTTTATTGCTTAAAGCAGGGGTCTCCACCCTGGTCCTGGTGTCTTGTAGGTCACCAGTTTCTGAAGTTTAGAAACACTTGTAAGTTGTTACTCTAGTGTTTTCCTCTGTAACCTGTACTCCTTATCCCTGAAGCATGAAAACAAAAGAAGATTTTGGTCCCCAAATTATTCACTTTAATAAATCACCTGCTTAATGGACCACATTTGTTTAGAAAGTGGTGATTTCATAGTTCCCAATAAAAAACGATGGGGCTTAGGTACCCCTAATTTAGAGAAATTTTTGCTTCTGGTAACAAAGATGCACTCAGTTTTATAGACAAAATCCTGGCTGCAGTGGCAATTGGATACTGAGATCATTAAAACCAATTTGAACAGAATGAAATTAGATGATCTAGGATCTTTGCAAAGCCAGCAATGTATCACTGATCTAGACTGATGATCAGTCATACTTCACAGGTGCTTAAATACATTTTACTTTATTATCACGGGGTATGGAACAAGAGAGCATAGGGAGTGCTCATTCATATTGTTATGATCACTTGCCCTTAAAGTCACACCAATGGATAACCCTGTTTGTGGCCAGGAAGGACTTGAACACATCCATACCAGTAATGAGTTGTAAATGACCTTTGCATGTTAAAGGTTCTTTTTTTTTTTTGCCATTAATGAAGAAATTCACTATATTTAAAAGCCAAAACCATGTTTGCAGCTTTTACCCTACCATGTAATGTTCAACCCAAGCACAAACACACACATTCCATTTTGTGCATGATTTCAGAAAAAAAGCACAGCCCACTGGAAAGCAGTATGAAGATTGTTTTCAACTGCAGCAGGGCAATATGTAAGCCTTTTAAGCAACGCCATATCCAAGCATGGTCTGCTTTAAGGTATCATACTTCTAAGAACCGTTTTCTCCAAAAATCCATAAATTCAATTTAGATACTACAGACAATAGCTACATTAACCTCTTTCAAAGGGTATTTATGCACAAGTGCTCAAAATGAGCTTGGCGAGAATAAGGGAATTAAGTAGCATCAAAATACTTCGAGGAGGGGGAGAATTGCCTCGTTATTAGTTTCTTCTTATTGTTCTTGTCTCCTAAGTTGCTTCTAAGTGGAGGGGCGGACAACAAACTCTACACCTACAAGTATCAGGCAAGCACCTCAGACGATGGAGCTTAACACAGCCTTTTCCTTTTGATACCACCTTTTGGACTTGGACTGCTTTGGTTTTCAAAATCAAACCCGCTGCCAACCCAGGAGGACCAGAAGACCCAAGAACATTTTAACTGAGCGACTGAATGGACCACGTGGGAGATGTTCTTGATCAAATTCTTGTGTGGTTTTACTCTCGGTATCCTTGATTTCGTTCGAAGCTTGTACTGTTTATTGGCTGTTTCACTTCCCTTTCATTTTGCCATTTTCAAATGTGTTGGAATGTTTCAAAATGAATATATACAATCCAGTCGCAATGCAAATGCTACATTTTTATATTAAATTGGGCCAACATTCAGTATTTTCTGTTCATTGTAAAAGGTAAAATAATACTTTTAAGAAAAAAATGTAACTTGTGCTGTTGTGCAAATGTGAGAATTTAAAACAAACTAGGCAGAGTAGACAATACTATTTTTACAACGAGTTTGTTACATTCAAGAGAATAGCCAAACATACAGTGATTAGTGGGATTCGTATTGATCTTAAAACTACAAACATTTCTTTTCCTTTGTTGTGACATCTTAATTCTGAAACTTCTCATGATGTATTTGTCCTTAAAAGTGCCATTGAAATATAAATATGACTATCAATGAACTGGATTGGATTTAGCCTTTGTTTGCTGGGAAATAAATGTTTATTGGTATACTTGCTAGTTAAAGGATAAATAGTACTCTTGACTGCAACATTTCTATAATAGTTTGAAGTGTTAAATTTTATGTGAAATATGGGACTGCATAGAGATGGATTTTAACACTTGAAAGGAAACTGCATGTTGTATTTTGGGACATGTATTTAGCATTTACAAAGAACTTGTGACTAGACAGGATTGTTTTAAACATTTAACAATTCTCTGATTTGCTCTGGTTTCATTTTGTGGTCTTCGTAATCCAATACTTTTTAAAACAATATTTCTTATGGACTGAAAAAAGTAAAGTTAGAAAGGACGCCTTTGTTTTCTGCTGTGAACTTTATTTTTCCAAGTACGTGATGCAGAAGTCGTGAACCTTATCTCTGCGCTACGAAGACCATATAAAGCTTTTAAAAATGAGGACCGCCTTTGTTCCGATTGGCTCTTGTCGATCCGAAATTTTCCATATCTTCGTCAGCTGGCGCCAGCTGCCGGGTTTTATTCCAAACAGTCAAACATTGTAATTCATTTCTCAAAATTACGGATAACAGGCGCATCCTGTTGGAGGTTCTGGACGAGGTGTACCTCACACTGGAAGGGGGATAATAACTTTGAATCGGAAGGCTGGAGACTGGTGCTGGTAAAACTGAAATGTGCTTTATCCTGCTGAGCCCATCACCACCGCTACCCTCGCCAGGAGTAAGCAGGTAGAATATAAATGAAAAAGAGTTGGTTTGAAAATAAAAACTGCAAGACGGTATATATATATATGTAGGAAGTTCATACTGGAACAGTCTTCATAGTTGCAGTACATGTAGGTTGCTGGGGAGTGGGTCGTGGTATATTTCCTAATGAAATGAATGTAGAGGGACATCATTTAATACTGCCGAAGTCCTGCAGTTCCCACTTGTCCAATTGAAAATGGTGTGAGACGTTCGTGCGTATTATAAATTGTGTTAGCGTTACTACTCGTACTGCGATGAGACCCGTCTTTATAACACTTCACCAGATCAAGGAACCTCCAACTTAACCAGTCCACACAAACATTGACCAATATAAGCACAGGGATACCATCTAATTCCATATGATAAAGATCTAACCGAAATTTGCCTGATCACCAGCCTGTTATTCTACTTTCTGAAGTCTTAACACCCTAAGGCTTTCCTGCCCACCTAGACACTAAGGTGGCTTTTTTTATTTTTATCCATTTACAAATGTAGCTGACGTTCATTTTCTGAAGCAAAACTTCCACTTCTCTCTGAATTTTAACTCGTTATGTACAAACAAATCGAATTACTCGTTGGTCAAATCCTCTCACCGGACGGATCACCTGTCCTTGGGTGAGCGACTGTGCTATAGTGCCCCCTACCGTAGTGGATGATCGGTGTTCAGCACATCCTGGGGCTGACTGAGAAGAGATACACAGCTAATAATAACCAGGTAACGTGTCGCATGCAAAAAAAAAAAAGGGATTCGTATTTCTATTTCGAATTAAAAAATCGGTATCCCGTTTTTTTTTAGTAGATGACTTGGGTTGGACAATAGCTTTGTACTGTCCGATTCGTTTTACTGTATCATCATCATAAAAATACTACTCCCTGTCCTAATTTAGGGTGTCGTGTTTCCCAGTTAATGCAGTTATTACCGATCAAAAACGGAACAAGTGAAATGTGCATTTTCGTTTATTTAGCGGCGTGGCATGTCTTTACCCGATGTTGGATGGAGAAATATAGAGGCAGTAATTTCTTGACAGTTCGTTCCCATATGTCCGGTAATTTGATAGTTGCTGTAAGCTTTTGTCATGAAAGGTAAACGTTTTAGGTTTTAAAACCGTTTTGAGTGAAGCGAACCGTCTAGTAGCCAACGCCGAAACCGACTGCACATTATTTTTAAACGAGGAAAGTGGGGAAAAAATGGGATTTGTGGACAAAAGGCCTGGTATCGCCGCTCTTTCCTGCTTTGGTGGTGTCAGGGTTGCTAGGCTAATTCACGGATGGCAGGTTACATCATTGTCCCGGGAGCAGGTTCGTTTATTTTTTCCGTGCCTGATCACTGTTTCACGATGCGATCGCTGATATATTCATTTATATCAGCTAAACTCATGTGTTAAATCACATTTTCATGAAGCGTCTGCATACTATTCCCATTGTAGTGTTAGAAATGTAGCGTTACGTGTCCAGCCCTCTCCCATCGTAACGATAGTTTAGCAAGAGAGATGATGCTGTTTCCAGTGCACCTAACGTTTTCTTCCCAGCTACACATCGTACCATGCTCTGAGCATTTTTTATCTCTTTAGAATCAAATTTAAACGTGTGGTTTTAAAGTACTCATTGGGTGTCATTTGTTTAAAAAGGAACAAGTAATGGGTTTATTCCATGCTGAAAAGAGAAGGAAGAAAACACAACGTTTCTTCAGGTGTGAGAAATCTCCACGGCCGAAACGTTGTGTTTTCTTTCTTCTCTTTTCAGCCTGGAAATAAACCTATTGTTCCTTTGCAGCTACCCAGCCGATTCATTTAAAAGGACGTGTTATTAACTGTGTTTGTGAGAGTCGTATTGTTTACCCTTTTTTATTTTTATTACTCCAGGAGAGTGATGCATGAACGACTGCTATTATAGGTAAGGATATAAATTTAAAAATGCCCACATCTGATTAAAATCTAAAAATCCTTATGCTTTTTTTTGCATCACATCTAGAATTCCTGTGTTTTCATTAATATTTGTTCTTTTGCAGAACTGAAACACATTAACGTTTATAATGGAGAGTCACTATGGGTATGTATGGCACCAGATTTCATTTTATTTATGCCTAGTTTCACTTTCTGCCACAAGAAAATGGCTAACTTTGCCTGTTCATTTCATGTTTTCAAACTACCAATAATCAAGAACAAGAAAATATCTTGTTCCTTTTTAACACAATTGCTAACTAGTGTGCAAGTACAAAAATTAACATTGTATACATACATACTTGTACATTCACACAGTTCAAGAATGAGAAAATAGTATATACCGAATCCCGTAAAGTGTCCACTGTCACTTGAAAGAATGAAGGATGTTTTTTTCCTAGGAGAAAAGAAGAAACTTATTATTGCTTAATGTAGCATTTATAATTTACTTATCGTTTACAAGTTTATTCATTTGGCCGACACGTTTGTACAGCTGGGCTTTTTTACCGGAGCAGTTTAGAGGTACATTGCTAAAAAGTGCAACAGTAGTCTCTCACCTGGGATTTGAACCCACAATCTTCCAGTCCCAAGTTCTGAACCCAAACCATCGCTCCACTCCGTTAAATCTGCAAACAGTGTGTGCTCAGACCCCTGACCCCTGTATTACACCACTATATTATGTATTATATAACACTTTATTAAAAGTCTTTTAATAAACTATTGAATTTCTTATTCTTTTAAGTAATTATTGAATCTAATGTACAGTCATAACAGTACTGTATGTACAATTGTGAGTCCATTATAGAACATAATAGTATTTGACCTAGCCTGGCAAGATAAAATGAGCTGATTTATTTAGACAAATGGAAATTTACGTATTCTTTCCCTGTACTTCCTTGCACGTTACCTCAGATGGTCCCTCAGACCACTGTTTAACCAGTGCTGTCTCCTTGACGCACGCGCGTTGACCGAAACCTAACCGGTGTCGTCTTCTCAGTTACTCCAGTGATGCCTACAGCCGTCACGTCCTGGGTGAGGACAGCTCGGTCATGGCTCGCATGCAGAAGAAGTTCTGGAAGACCAAGCAGGTCCTCATCAAAGCCACCGGAAAGAAGGAGGATGAGCACGTGGTGGCGTCCGACGCCGACCTGGACGCGAAATTAGAGGTCAGAGTTTTTCCCAGGTTTGGCTGCTTCGGCAGGAAGTGCTCCTGTCATCCAGTACCAGTGTCTTTTTGTTGAGACAGGACCTGAGCGATGCATTAAGGGTAGCAGGAGTTCCCATATGGTACTGGATTGACTATCACCCCTCCCAGTACACCGTGTGCGCACACCGCTGGTTGGGGATAGATACTTTATTGATCCCGTGAGGGAAATTGCAGTGCAACAGCAGCTTAACACACACAACACAGCCACAGTGTAATGAATGATACAATAATAATAATAATACAACACATACAATACAATCAGTACAGTGAGGGGTGCACTAAAAGAGCTACAGTCCAGGACACACAAAGAACAAACTAGAAGAGAACAGTACGCAGAAAAATCATATTGCATATATGAATATAAATATAGATATAAATATAAATGTATTGCACGGGACCCTGGCATATATTGCACAAAAAACGGTTGTAAATGGGAAAAGAAAAAGAACAGATGTAGTAGTTTACTGGGATGCAGTTGTAATTAAATAAGATATAACTTTGTCCATCCAAAGGGGTGAAAAACTGTCTTTGGCCAAGAAACGACGCTCAGCATAAAATAAACAGACATTAAAACAAACAACATGTCCTAAACATGCAACAATACATAGACACGCATATCTCATTGTGGCCATATTACACTACCATTACACTTAATCCGATAGCTTCCAAATACAGGAAGAAGTCACTGAGCTGAGTTTAATATACCGATTGCACAGGAAAGAAAGGATCTCTTGAGCACATTTTTTGGCCACAGGCATTCTCAAACTGTTTCCCTGAAGGTACCAGTTGGAAATGGAAATGAAGGGGGTAGGAGAGATCATCCGTGATAAGCAATATAGTAACAAGAATGAGCGACACGTCCTCGATTTTGGTGGGGAAAACTGAGGAATTACAATGTAATAATTCCTCAGTTTTAGAAATGAGGAACATTTGGGAAAAAATGGGGAAAAAATTCTCCCTTTTTAGTTTCTCACCTTCAAGGGTGACTGCTCGTATCAGTCATCACTCTGGGGTGGAGATCCCTTTTCATGGCTCATGCCATGTAGCCCTGCATAATATCAAAGTAGCAAATACAGGGCAAAAGTGCAGAAGGTTCAATTTTATTTTCTTTGCCATGTGTCACGCGTACTCCTGATGGAATTTTGCAGACTTTGTTCCCCCAACGTAGACAGAACCCATGTCTGAAATGACTGGGAACAAACAACGAGCCTATGTGCTTGCATTTGCTCTACACCTGTGAGTGGTTAATTTTCCTAGCAAGCAGGCTTGCGTTATCCCTTTTTGAAGGAGCGGGCCTTTGTAGTTACGGGGATTGATTGTTCCTTAGTTCATTCTGCACGCCTCAATTGATAAGAAAAGTGGGAATAAAGTGCATATGTGCAACAAAAAGGAGATTTTCTGTAATGTTTTTTAATGGTTAAAGAAAGCGACTTCTAATTTAACTAATTAAAGTCTTTGCTATTGCCTTAATTATGAACATAATTAAGTGCTGATTTAGAGGTGCTTCAGATACAGGTGATCCAACCAGACTGAAAGTAGTCTGTAGAATTATAACAGGGTAAAAGCCGATATTTTTTACACGCATGGTGAAATTGTCCTCAGGGTTTGTATGATGGTAAATCATTGAAATATTTTAAGACGCTTGGAATCTCCCGTGTTGAGATTTTTATATTCACCACATTAGGTATCCGAGCAAAGCAGAGTAATTGCTTTCCAATTCATCGGGTGCTTTTGCAGCTGTGAACACTGGGAAGATGAAAACGTGGTTTATTGGCATTCAGGGCTCTGAATCATGCACTGAGATGAAACGACAGTGCCTCTTCTGTGGCTGTATTTTACAAAAAGCAGTTCATATCAGAGCTCTGTTTTGTGCTTGTATTCACATGAAGCTAGCAGTGCTGATGTACTGCCCAGAGTAGAATCTTGTAGTGCTGAAAGTACAGTAGCACATATGTACATTTCTTAAAGTTACTATTTTATTGAAAACGATTGTTTTTTTGTGTGATTCTGCAATACAAAAACAGCATTTTATACTAATTGTTCTCGTTCTGGAAAAATGCAGATTGCCCCAAATGCTGCTTTCAGTCTGTACTGTCGCACATTAATGCGAAACACTGACATGCACATACAGTACTTGTACGTAGGGCAAGTTTTCTCAAACACCAGTTAACCTACCAGTACATTTCTGAGCTGTAGGAGAAAACCCACACATACATATGGAGAACATTCAAAATCCATGCCAATAGCATCTCAGGTCTGGAATTGAACCCAATGTCTTAGTACTGCAAGGCAGCAATGATAACTACTGTGCCACACTGATACATATAATTCCTTGGAATATTCCCTACTTCAGAAAGGACACATAATATATTGATTATATTTCTAACACTTAAAAGTACATCAAACCGGATTTGGTATAATGCTGACACATGACATCCAGTTTAGTCTGTACTTTATTTTCTTTAAAAAAACAAACATTGTATACTCCTTTTCAGCCAAAGTAGTCAAAGCTATGTCGAAGTAAAATTGTGTTCTGGAAATGTGTAATTGTGATGGATCATACACTGAAAGCAAGATACAATCATCATTTAGGAGCTTGGCAAACAATAAAGTGATCCCTTGCTATTAACCTTTACTCTGGATTTTAGATTTTATATCAAGTACTCTAGTTGGGAATGTTTAATGACTGGAAATGCAAACAAATTTCGGTTGAGAGGAGGCTGTTTTTCTTTTTCGAGATTTAAGGGTGGGAGTCTTCGATGATTGAATTTTAACACATGAAGACTAATGGAAACAGGCAAATGACATCCAAGGTGGTTCAATTCTTTTCAGGTGCTACAGGCTGAGGGCCCTCATACAGATTTTCTGTGTAAGACAAACTGAAAAATTTGTGACGCAATCAGTATATTGGTAAGCACAGATGCATTTCGTACAATGTTAACTTTATATCTGTTGTAGCATGTACCCCGATGTGCTTGTTCTTTTGAATAAGAGACTCTCGGCTGTTATGTCTTGGTCGGAATGGAGAAAATTGCTATCTAAATGTGTTCTTTTCCTTTCCTTGGAGCTGCTAAGAGAAATTACAACATCAGTGGGGAAATATTTGGCCATTTCTGGAAGATAGTCGTCATAATGTACTCTTTCATTCAAGAGTAAAGATAATATTGTACTGCTGGCTCTGTGCCGGGTCTTACCAAACAGGTTTTTTTTCCAAGAGAGCTCATATCAAAGTGCTGGTAATTTGGTTCTGCCTCCACAGCCCTTGGGTGTTAGTTTCAGTTTGTATTTTATGCAGTGCTTTGTTGTGGAGACCACCCGGGGTGAGGTTACGGCACCGAAGGACAGGTAACAGAAGTAACAGGAACATTCCAGTAATTCCAATTCAAACAAAATGAAATTAAAACGACAGAAGTGGTTCTGAATTCTAAGCCGGGCGTCATACAGGAGGTCAGAAGTCTCTAAGCAGGGCTGGATTTTGGTGTCCGTAGGCCCTAGGCACTTTCACTCGAAAATGTGCAAAAAGAGGGATAAACGCCAATTGAATTATGTTGATTGACATGATACACTTTAAACTATTCTAATTCTAAACCACTTGATGGATATCAGGGAGTCAGGCGACCATCGCTTCGATACTTCTAGTTTCTAGAACAGCTGCTAGACAGCGTATGATAGTTGGTTTGAAGCATCTAGAGTCGTTCGCAAGCCTGTTGTTTCAGCTCGTTTTTCATTAGTCACTAGTGTTTCCCTCCTAAAACACTAGCCCTAAAAATTTAGTAGGCCCTATGCACTGTGCCTAAAGGGTAATCCGGTACTGTCTCTAAGGCCACGGCTTTGGAAAAAAACAATTATCTTTCAAGAAAAAGAGTTACGTGAGGTTCAGTCCTTTGCAGCGATGAAGTTTTTAGTTTAAAAGAATAGTGGCGATGGGGCAGCTTGAGAGAAGAAAAGTGTTTTCACCTTGGAGTTATATATCGTCAGGCGGGGTGAAGGCAGGCAGAGTTCCAGAGCAGGGATGCACAACAAAAGTGTGTCACAAAGTCAGCTGACTGGTGCGGTATCTGAGGCTCATGTAGTGGAAGAGTTCAAGTTGGTTGGTACCCAAAGGAAACAGGCCGTTCCAACTTCAAAAATAACATTCCAAGGTAAATTTCTGATTGTAGAGAGAGTCGTTTTTTTTTTAAAAGGGAGAGTGAACGCAATGAGATCGACATTATTAAATGAGTTTGCATGAATACGTTTCAATTGCTACAGGTCTAACTTCCCCCTGGGTCTCATGCATTGTCGCATTGTCACATGTTTAGTCCCGGTAAAGCAGGGATGAAAAATTTCTTGTCTAGTATAGAAGTACTCTAGGTCTCTGCCACAAATAGAAAAAGGAATTGCAGAAACAGATCATCTGAGCACTTCACAGGGAAGACCGATTGAGCAGATTAATGAAGTGGCATGACTCAGGGTTATTTATGAATCAAAGCTACAGCTACAGCACCCACTTCTCTTATTGTATCTGAGATACAACTCTGCACCTAAAAACGCAAGCCCCACTGCAATTAAAACCTAATGACGTCTGCGATATCGCAGATCTAATATTTCCAAAAAACAGGTTCTTTGCACACAAAATTAAAACATGGATCATAGGTACAGATCTAAACCATTTAGCAAATGGGAAGAGTCTGTTTTTTATTTTAATGGAATTGCTTGTTCATTTTTTTTTTTGGTGTCTAGAAAAACAAAGTTTCTTTGCTCCATTTTTTTTAGCCAAAAATATATTAATAGGGCTATCTTTCTATCAGATTTTGGCTTCTCCAGTATAAAATCTGTTCCAATAGTCTATATAAACTTTTTTGATACCCAGGTAGATCCCTTGCAAGATTCTCATGTTTTGCGTTATATTTTCATTAAACATTTGAAAATGCCGTTAATACTTGAGAGCTCTCAAACTTTAAATGAATACTAATTCAAGCTTAAGACATGTAGATAACTACGAAGGACACTGTAAAGTCCTCAGATATAGGTCAGTATGCCCATTTCATGTGAATCTGAGATATATTGGTATTTTGGGAGATGTGTTTGAACAAGTCATGTTGTGTATGCAAGGTCCTTGAGTTAGTAAAAATCCAGATGCCTTTTTATTTGAAGGCCGGAGTTTCTGTCCCGTTTCGTACAGCCAAATCAGGACAATCAGATGTGTTCAGTCTTGGTTTCCTTCCTGGATTAAAGCCAGTTTCCTGCTCTGTTGCCATGCAGGCTGGTATCCTTGATGTCTGCTAGTCTGGAAAACAATTACAATACACTTTCTACTGCAGAGACGGCAACATGTCTGTCTGTGGGTGTTGGTCCAGGGTTTTTATTTATATGGTTTGATGGTACAGAAAGTTCTACATTATATAGATTCAGTGTTGATAAAAATTAGTTTCATTTTCCTGTGACTGTAGGGGTAAAATATTGCATAGTCTATTTGCAATTTTGACTGTGTGATAGGTGGCGGATTTTCTAACCAGAGATCTCAATTTAACTTCAGGTTTTCCCAGTTTAACTGTGTGTACCGAGTTTTGCATATCACATCTGGTGAGACCAGACTACCTGGCACTTTTTTCAACTGGTTGAACAGTAAGAGGATTAATTGGAAACTAGTCTGGGAAGCAGTGAAAAATTGCACAAAACAGCTGTCTGTCTGGTTTTCTAGAAGGCTGTTTCTAATTTGTTGTAAAGGAAACAAATGACTTGGCTTTTCCTGTGCGGTCAAAAATGTGTATTTTGCCCACTCCTGAGAAAGCTGGATATATGTGTTTTAAAAATATAGGAGAAGTATTTTTTTTTCTTCAATTTTAAGTTAGAATTTGCCAATATGAAATGATACTATGAAACCTCAGTTGACCAGAGGTGTTAAAGATGTAGAACTGTACTTGGGAGATTAAAAAAAACAAACATACAAGGAGATATATAGGGTTGCCATGCAACAGTGACCTTAGTGAGTGGCCTTGTGTCTGTAAAATTGGAAGTGTTGTCAGGGAAATCCATATCTCTCGGTCAATCACTGTTTAATTTGCTTCTCTGCAAAGAGGAAAGCTCCGAGACATGCATATTTCTGAGAAGGGCATATTTCTGAGTAAAGTGGACATAGCTCACATCCCACAGGTGCTAACACTGGGTCTATAGCCAAGTTGAGAAACAGTTAGCCATTTCCAACTAGTACAAAAGGGAAAATACGTGATTCCGGTTTATAACACTTAGCAACCGCAAAACAAATAAGACAGTGTTGTTAGATGTGAATACAGGAAAATAAGATGTTTTTTTCTTTGGACAAATGAGTATGTAGGTGGCACTGTAGTTGCACGGCTGTTCTTGAAATTTTTTATATAAGACAGCACAGCAGAATTAAGTATTCCGTCATATAGGAAACAATAAAAGTAAATTGTTCAGTTCTTAGGCTGTAAATCGTTTTTTGTAAAAATGCACATTTATCACAAAAAGCAACATATAACTGAACTGGGCCGTATACACATTAACTCACCTTGCAGGCAGTGAAAGGGTATGAGCTTTCGAGAAGCATTTCAGTTCGAAATCTGAGTAGATGTCTTGTAGTATGAATGTATAATGCTACACCAGGAACACTCTCTTACCGATTGTAACAGTGGTTTTCATGAACAACATGGGTGGCTATGGGGAAACTTTGCAAATGAACCTTTATTCTTTTTTTCCGTTTCAGTTTTTTCGATCTGTGCAGGCGACATGCACTGAACTTCTGAAAGTGATCGAGAAGTATCAGCAGAGGATAACTCGTGAGTACCCGCCAGGCCAGGCGCAGAAAAAACATTTATTGCTACGATGAGCATTAGAGGGTAGGCGGGTTGGTCTCCATTAGAGAATACTGGAGTCTTGTGGGATGTAGATTGATTCAGCAGACTTTGTGTGAATTATGTTGAGAGATGAGTAACAGGATGCTCTGATTAACATTCGGTAATGGTCTTCATTAATCAAGTATTTAAGATCTGGATTTGTTCAAACTGTACATTAACCTTGACTAGAGATGCATGCAACCTTAACCTGAAAGAAATCGAACTTGTAATAAGAGGGTGTAAAGTAATTTGGTCCAAAATTGTACATTTTGTTTTTCTAAATCCTGTTTAGTCTTTAGCCTAATGGGGTGTTTTTCTCAAAAACTGTCCCACCCACATTCTTGGATTCTAGTTTTTGGCCAGATTGCTGCAGAATTTGTCCACTGACATGAACTTTCCTAATGTAACTACTTGTGAATTACATGGAAGTTCTAGTGAAGTATGTAAACAGAAGGGTGAACACCATCTGGTCCCTTCCACTGATGTGAAAATAGTACAACGAATTTACAGAGGGAATGGCGAAGGAATGTAGCCATTCCTTAAGGAAGAGGGATATCATGTAAGCTAGACAAAGGATTTCTTATAAATGTTTTTAGTTGAATATCATATAAGATACGAGTGTCCAATTGGCTTCCTCTTGTTTATAACCTTTCTTTTCGTCTTTCTTCATTTGATCTTTAAATCTTTCAGAAGAAATAAAAACAAACCCATCAGATTTTCTTGGCTGTAGTTGATTTATAATTTGAACGACTGCTGTCTTTTTAACCTGCAGCCTTCACAGTTTTCTCCTGGCTTGCTCACAGACTGTCTGAACACATTTCTGCGTTTGCAGTTGAAATAACAGAGGGCTGGGGCATTTAAATTCACATCTCCTCGACTTTGGAACTACATGTCACTAAGCATCGCAGAATCACTTTTAAAGGAGCACGGAGAAGCCCAGTTATTAAGAGAGGCGGTTTATTAGCTGTCGGCCTTCTAGGTTGTGAATTAAAGTGTGCAGTACTTTGAGATTATCTTGAAATCGAGATTCCACTTGACAGATTTAATCATTTCTCTCTTTGCTGGCAGATTTATCCCAAGAGGAAAATGAATTGGGCTTGTTCCTGCGATTCCAGGCCGAACACGATAAAACCAAAGCAGGCAACATGATGGATGCCACCAGCAAGGCCCTCTGTACTTCAGCAAAGCAAAGGTCAGCTTGCCGACATTCAATGTCTTGAAGTCAATTAAACCTTCCATTTTAGAGCAATGCACTTTACTTCCCGGTTTTGCACATTATTTATTCTGAGTGTTTGAGGTGAGATGCTCCACAGATAACACTGGGTCTTGGGTTTTCAGTGTTTGAAAGGACAGAAGGTGGTTAAAGGCAAAGGGACAGAACGTTATGGAAACATCTGCCTCATTTGACTGCATGCACTTCGTCTTACGGATCTGCATAAATGGATGATTTAAATCACTTAGGAAGACAAAAAAAGGCCAATTCTGAGATGACGTTTGGGCTACCGTGATGTTTTGATGAACTTGTTCTAATTGTGGACAGGCTAGATTCAAATTCAGAGCCCTATCTCTTAATTGGTAACAAGACCATCTAACACTGAGACAAAGAGAACAAGGAGCAAAGGGAAATATAGCAGACCCCTTTCTTTTTTTCCTTTACTACTTATTATATGTATTTAATCACTTAGACTAGGACGTTATGTGGGATGGGGAGCAGACTTTAACGCTGTCTGGCCCTAACATCATTTCCAGGCATTTTAGGGTCTTAGGATGTCTTTGTCTAGAATGAGGCATTGTCTCCTGTATTTATTAGTTCACACTTACCAAAATGCCAAGATTTCCCTTAATTCTGGTTCTGTGATCAGCAGTTCAAAGGCTAAGGTAGAAGCAGCCAAGATTTGTCCTGAAGTTGTTACTTGTTTTAATTGGGCCTGTGGCACTGGCTACTGTTCCAGGCAATGCTGTGGGGTGTTTAATGTCTGTTTTCTGAATCTGACACGCATCTGAAAGCCCACACCTTCTGCTGTGGCTCCACATGACTTCCATAAGCTCATTGTGTTTCTTCCAGCTTAGTGTGCAAATAGGTGGGTGTGCCAATTGTATTGTTCTGCTCGCTTGAGACAACTTCTGTTTTGTGTGTAGGAGTATATTTCACCTTCACTAAGTGGCTAGTTTGGTTTTAATGCAGAGAGATTGAAGATGTGCTTGTGGGTGTAAAACACAAATGATCAATTATCAGCTGTTTTTAGGCGTGCAAGCCATCAGTTTCATTCTAGATGTTATCAGGCCTTCTCATTAAGGTGGTGTCGTTGGTTACTTGAAATGTGCCACATCTGTAGCAGATTCCTGTAGGCCACGTGGTGATTTTCCTTGAATCTCTGGATTTAATAGTCGGGAGTGTTTGTGTTTATGCGAAAGCAGGCCTTGGACCAGAAGTACCTTTTTATTTTCCCACAGAAAAGGACCACCCAGAGAAACTAAAATTAAAGATATCGCATAGATTGTTGTCATGCATGAAGCTGCTAGCCATAACAATTAAAATGTTCTTTTTCATACCGTTGGCTTGGCAGATATGGTCTCTGTTTAAACAGAGCAGGCGGTATTGCCTGCACTCTGTTTTAGTTCACATCCTTATGTTTTGCATGCTAATTGTATTTTATCTTGGTGGAAGCTTTGTTCCCATCAGCCCGAGAGAAATAACATCTTCCTCCATGTGACAGAAGGTGTGTTCTGTGTTTCAGTCTTAGCCTAGAACACTAGTATCCACTGCTGGAGGTCTGCCACATGTTCTGGATTACATACCAGACTCTAAATGGCACTTAATGAATAAATAAAGGACTCTTAATGACTTGATGTGAATCACTTGTGCACTTTGTTGGTCTGTGTTGCCAGGTCTGTATTAGGTCTTCATTAATTGATGTTTATCGGTTTCCTATAAAACCTGGTGAAATATATACAGTAGTGTTTTCGGGACCAGGAGTGAATATTGCTGGCCTAGATAAGTATCCTCTAGCTTTCTGTTTCCAATATGGGAGCCCCAGTCCAGCAGTTTTATGGAAAAGCAATCATTTATCAAGGTCTAAGAGATTTTGCGCACTTTTATTCTGATCAGTTCAGCAGGTGATTTGTTAACTTTACAGATCATTTGTATCCAAAAATGTGGAACACCTATGAGTTCCACTGTAAAGGACACAGTTCCCTTCAATAAATACAGTTGGTTAATTAATCACTCTCCAGAAACAGGTGAACCGTAGGAACAGTTGGATGGGAGCTTTTTATTCTGGTGATGGTTCTGGTTAAAAAAAATGTTTTATCTCAGAAACCCCCGTTTCTAGATGATACTTAAATTTGTTCACAAATCCTGTATCTATGCATTTACTGGAAATGTACTTGAAACATTCTGGAATGTCTCTATATGCACAAGACTTGTGTTGTGGCAGTGCCTCTCTGCTGAATGTTGCGTAGGGGGTGTTGGAAGATAACACTAAGTAGTGCTCTTTAAAGAGGAGTTGATGGTGTGCAATAGCCTAATTTTAGCACAAGCAAGCAGACAAGTCCGTTTTGAGAGAGATGGAAGGTTCCACTGCCTACGTTTGTGTTTTTGTGGTTGTAGTCAGATATATCTTTTCCATTTTTTAAACAATGACATTGACTTAGACATTGTATTTGCAGAAATTAATTATATACCTGTACGATTAAATTATATGCATTTATAATATTTATAATAGTCAAAGTTTGTAATATAAAGTACTATCTTTTTTATCTGTCAGTCTACAGATAGACATGAAACATAACGTTGTAGTTCTTTATTCTTTTTTATGATAATTCCCTTTGTCATATTAACTCAGGGCAATGATTCATTAGTTTAGCCCAATTCATGGAAAAGAACCTTAATTTATAACTTAGAATATTGAAATTCAGAGTAAGTAGTAATCAGTTCTGTTTGGTATTTAGACAATACACACCTTAAGCTTAAAAAAATAAATAGAAAAGATGATTGCATTAAGGTTGTATGGGTGTTTTCCCACACTGTGAAAACTGAATTATGTTGCTAACTACAGCATGTGTAATTAACCTGGTAAGTTAATTGGATTTTGGGAAAACAGGTCCTGGTGTGACTGTCTGTCCTATGATGGACTGGTGTCCTGTCCAGGGTGTACCCCACCTTGTGCCCCTTGCTGGTGTAGGCTCTGGCACCCCTGCAGCCCTGTATTGCAAGGCGGAGCGGTGGCTCTGTGGCTAAGGATCTGCGCCTGTGGCTGGAAGGTTGCCGGTTCAAATCCCGTGGCCGGCAGAGGAGTCCTACTGCACCAGGGGTGGCATATAAATGGCTGACCCTGCGCTCTAACCCCAAGCTTCTCTCTCCCTGTCTGTGTGTCTCATTGGAGAGCTAGCTGGGGTATGCGGAAATATATTTCTTAATGCAAGAAATTGTAAAGGGTTAATAAAGTGATGTTGTTATTATTATTATTAAAGGAGTTTAGAAAATGGATGGATATATAGTCAGATCAGATCTCGGTTCTTGAAGACGGAGCCTTGCCTGTGGCCAATCCGTGTCTTTCTCTCCCCCCCTCACTTTGGTGGCAGGCTGGCCCTTTGCACTCCGCTGCATCGGCTGCACCAGGAGGTGGAGACGTTTCGGCGGCGTGCCATCTCCGACAGCCTGATCACGGTGGAGCGCATGGAGAAGGCCCGCACCGAGTATCGGGGCGCCCTGCTCTGGATGAAGGACGTGTCCCAGGAGCTGGACCCCGACACGTACAAACAGCTGGAGAAGTTCCGCAAGGTGAGCAGAGAGATTGAAGGGTCCCTAGTCTCACACCAGTGGGCCAGTGGGCCTGCTGCTGCACAGATCTTCCTCTCCTCGATCCAGACCACACAGTCCAGTTAGTCTTCACGTTTTCGGATGAGCAAAGTTTAAAGTGGATTTGAGCCGTATTTGTGGAGAAATGGTGCAGTTCGAAATGAAACGAGCATTATCTTCCAGACCAGCCAGAGTAATATTTCCTGGATCCATAAAGCAGATGAATAATTCCTTTGTTTTCTTTTGGTATATTTCGGGTCTGTCTAGGGCTCATCCACTGGCTGTCCTCAACTTTGATCCTGGCTATTCAGCAGATGTCCTGAAAGCCCTGTGAATGTGGCGTTACAGAGAGTGGAATTCTTGTAAGCTGTTAGGAACATTTCTTGGTAATAATGTAGCTGTGTGGCAGTAGTATTTTAAACTCAGATATATATATATACATGTGCAGGAAAAATTCTGTTAAGTTTTGCGCAGTGAACGTCGCATTCAGCCAATCACTATTTCAGTGGTGTCCTATGCTTCAGTCGCTGAGACACGGTGACATCACCATATGAGTGGGTAAATTACATTAAATTGTACTGCACTGGAGATATGCATCCAGTGGTCATGAAGCTGATTGTGCAGTCCCAGAGGCCAGTGCAGTTCAGTCTATTATCAAAAAAGCTGTTTAGCCAACCTGACTTGCAAGGCAGCACTGCAGCCTCAACAGGATGGACTCTGGCCCATGATTCTTGAGCGCACACTCTTTGAAGACGGCAGTTAACCTAGACAGCCTGCCTCTGGAATGTGGGAGCACCAGGAGAAATCCCAAGCGGATATGAGGAGGGCATGCAAAACTCTCCAGTCCAGAATTGAACCCAGAACCCAAGAGGTGTGAGGCAGGTTAGCCATCTGCCATGCCTCTGTGCCACCAGCTGCTGTGTTTGTCTGAGGGAATTATCACAGCCACAAGATCCAAGTCAGCCATCAGGTGCAGAAGCACAGAAACAGTCAATTCGATTGCATGAGACTGTGTGCATAAGATATTTTTGGTTAGTGCTTCATCCTTAGCGTGTATTAAAAGAAATGAATCCATGCATACATCCAGAATGCTGTTGAGTTTCTGCAACACTCCAGGTATATTTTTGCTCTGCTTTGACTGGCTGGCTCTATGTTGTCACAATGTCAGACATGTTCCCTCATGGGGTGTTACCCTACCCAGCCTTGTTTTTAAAACTGGGGAACATTTCAAAGGAGTGACACAGTGATGCAATGGTCAGAATTACTGCCCTGCTGCGCTGTGGCCCTGGGTTCGATTCCGGACTTGGTGTGCTATCTGCGTGGAGTTGGTGTCTTCTGGATGTTCCCGACCAGAGTCCAAAGACATACTGGTAGGTTCAGGGGATTCTGGGAATATTGGCCCTGGTGTGAGTGTGTGTGCCCTGTGATGGACCGATAAACTGGTCTTGGGCCTGTTACTTACTGGGATAGACCCTGGCACCCCTGTGACCCTGAATTGCACGAAGCAGGTAGAAGATGGATGGAACATTTAAAAGACAGCTGAATAAGGCACAACATGGAGAGCCATGTGGAAAAAAAAACACATTTTTAACTGTTGATCTGGCCTGTCTGTTTCACAAGTACAGCTTGATACCAGGCCTGTGTTAAGAATAGTTACGTGTTCTTAATTGCTGATCACAGGGCAAGGAGACCTCTCTCTGGTTATTTCATGCATTAGTTCATCACCTTAACTCCAGACTCCCCCTGTGGATAAACACAGCTCACTGTTTCTGGCTCTGCAGCAAGACGTCGCGTTTGCAATGAGCAGGAAATGGCTGAACTGAAAAGAAAAATATCTTGCCCGTGCTCGGAGAAAAAGTTCATGCAGCGAAACATCCAAACATGGCTAGACTGCTTCTCCCCTGTAGCTTTTAATTTTTATTTCCTGTGTGCACAGTTGCTAGGGAGTAGAGGATTTCTTCTACGCCATAAATAGACGAGAGTTCAGACCAGGAAAAACAAAAGGAGGTCAGAGCCTACTGTCCTCAGGCGGATTGACTTTTGCTTTTGACATCAGGTGACATTTTGTGACCTGACCAGTTTTTCTCCTTTCTCCCTATTCCTGCGTGACCCCCTGACAGGAAAACAATTTCTCTGGATGGAAGAATGAGATTATTTCTCCCCTTAAAAGCGAGAAGATAAAAAATAAACAGTATTTTGGCTGTCGAGCCTTCTTTAAGCTCAAGCGCTAACACAGCTGTTGTGCTCTCACATTGATCACATGGATCAAGTCTACCAGAGAACCTACTTCAGAACTGGCAGTTAAACACAGTGTGTAACTTAAGAATTTAAGCAGAAATTAAGAATTTCCACTTTGGTGGAAAAAAATAAATTAACTGAAAAGAACAACTCTTTGCCCAAGGAGTCAGAAGCCTGGGAGAAGCTGTCTGTTCAAGTTTTTGAAGCAGACATTGTGGAATCCTTCTAGAAATAGCTGGACAGTTTTTTTTACTAGTTAGCAACTCGCTGTACAAGTATTCGTTTGTTCTTGGGTGTGCTTATCTTTAGCAGGATACATTGCCTGGGTTTTTTTTAATGTGGATATTATCGTTATAACTTTACTCAGCGGTTTGTTTTTGCGAGTCTGTTCAGTATCTTCTCAGCTGTGTCACCTTGAAAGACCGATGATAAATGGTTGAGATTAGATAATAACTAGCAGGGAACAGTACGAGTGCATTTGACTCCATATCTGGTCCTAACTGCAATTAATAAAACAGAATTACCTGTAGAGATGTACCTTAGTAACACTTGGCAGCAGAAACAATCTTTTTAGCCCAGCAAAGAGGGTTTAATAAAAAGCTCTAACGTTTGTGGACAATTCAAGTTTAGTGCAGTTTATCTACAGTAAATTCTAATTTAATTTAGATAATGACCAGAGTATGTAACTGATGAGCAGTGCTATCCACATGGTCTTCTCACAACTCATTTTAACCTACAAAAGGTTCTGGATTGTGCAAGAATTGCTTTCAATTATCTATAGTTCATTTGAAAATACTAGCACTATACAGTCCTGGGATGATTCACATCAGATAAAATACAAAAGGTTTAGCATGTAGGTAGTTTTTATGTAAAGGGACTCCCAAAATCAAACCGTATTTGCGCCGAGACGTTAGTCAAATTTTGTCAAATCTGAGAAGCATTAACTGAATCTGCTAAAAACAGTCCCTGTGACATTCAGTCCAAGGCAGCTTTAATGGAGATTGTCAGGCGGATCTCAGCTCTAAATGTTAACTCATGGTGCCAGTCAGTCATTTCTCAAAATGGTTTGTATTCCAAACAGTACACCAGACTGGCTTCTGTGAGGGCTTTGGCTGTCTGCCTCACCTGTCTTAGTTCAGTTTCAGTTTCATAAGGGATGAGCCAGTAGGAGAACAAATTAGACTATGGAGGTCTCAGTATGAATACTGCCCAGTAAGATTGCTTTCTTCTTGATAAGAGCTTTGTAACTGGAGACCGTCTCCATCCTTGCATAAAATCCCACTGAGCAGTGCAAGTCTGTATTCACTCCAGCTAGGAGCTTGGACTTGCTACTTGATCCTTAATAGAAAATTACGAAATTCCATTGTAATTCAAAATGACTGATACCTTCACTTTAGATTTAGCATATGAATTACGTGCCTCTGTGTCTAGTGTCATTACTCTTGGGGAAACATAACAAGGAACATTTTTGTGGTGTAACCTCTAGGTGGGAGCATTTGCTTAGAAATGCTCGGACTTGCTGTTTGAGAAGGGCCCAGCAGCACTCTTTACTTGAGCTGCCTTAAGACAAATTTAAGTTCACAACAACAGAAACCTCTGAAAACAGTGCAGACGTTCTCAATTCTAAGAACAGAGGTTAGATTTGAATTGTAAGTGGCAGAAATGTGTTGTGTAAATGAAATGTCTCTTTTGCTGCAGAAACATTGGTTGTTTCAGCTGAATCCCATGTGATAACAGGAAGTCCAAGAGGGAACATTTTGGCACAGTGTCTTAAAATGGTAGTTACCAGCTGATCTGTTGGCCAAAACAAACAGCCTGAAGTGTACTGTCTAACTTGATGCTCAAAGCTGAGCGAACTGAAGGAAGCATTAAATTCAGAATCAAAGGTGTGAAATATTATTAGTAAAAACCACAACCGGACAGTTACTCAGCTACTCCTGAGATACAAAGCCTAGCACACTGAAATGTTTCTAATTAATACAGCTGTATATTGGAAATCACATCACACTAAAGGGCATGTTGTTTGTTTTTTAAGGTTATCCGAAAGGTTTTAAAGTGTTTGATAAGCTTCAGGCAGTCTCTCATAGCTCATGTGCTACGTTGATCAGCTTTTCTGATCAGAACCATGGTTCTCAAATTTCTACTCCAGTTTGGAAATTATTTGACAGCGAGGTTTAATATTGTGGTTTATAAAAACAAGGCTTAGAAACCTGTTCCAGATACTCACAACTCTTGTGTTAAGTGTTTTTTTTTAAGTTTAATCTCAATTAACAAAATAGATTTCCTTTATTTTCAGTGTGTATATACTTGAATCAGATCTTTTCTTCACGCTTTTGTGTTCTAAAACAACTTCTGTATCGAAGAGATTTAGTTCTTTACCTTTCCATGTATGGTGCATGTATGATAATTTGCTGAAACTAGGAATTGTTCTTGTTGCTAGTCTTTGATCTCTTTTTTTCACTGCGTGAGCCTTTTGTGGTATGGTGTCCAAAGTTTGAACAAAATAGTCTACGAGAGATCTTTCTAGTGCTTTATAAACCTTAAGCATAACTTCCCCCAGTATAAATTCCACATTTATACCTTCTTTGCTTTTTTGTTGCTTCCTCAAATTGATGAAAACATAAAACTATGTGCAGTTCTGATTTTGTTTAAATCTCTCTGTATTTCCCTTGCAGTGCTTTCTGTTTACTGCTCACCCAAATTTTGACAAATAAAATACTTTACTTTATCAGAATGGAAATTGTTTATGTAGTTCAGGAAGATGCCCCAGATCACTGCCACACTACGGTTTATATCTTGTCTCTTTAGACGTTGTGCTCCACGAAATGATGTCCTGTATCCTGTTTCCCACCAAGTTCATTTCTGTGGCTTTTATCGAAACATGTTTTTACCGGGGACCTTATCAAAAGCTACACGTATCATGTTGTATGGTTTCGCTTGATCAATTATTGCTTGTTTGAAAAATTTGAATAAGTTGAACAAGTCTTTCCCTTTCTAAATCCGTGCTGGGTGTCTCTTAAAATGCCAGATTTTTCTTAGTGTCTTTTTAAATTTAGCACTGTTGTTTTCACATTTTTACCCGTTGTATTGGTAAAACTTAGTGGTCTGCACCTTCGTGGTTCAGCTCCTCCTTGGTTCACCTTTTTTAGGGGGTATTGGATGCTGAAGTCATTTGTGAGTAGATTGCATGTCCAGCACGTGGTCAAACTAAGCACTGCTCTAAAACTCCCTAAAAACTAAAATGAGCTCCATGGAAGTAGGAAATTCCACCTTGTTTGGTTATGAGTGATTAATGTCATCTGTCAATCAAATTCCAGTAAAAAATATGGCAGTCAACAGTTCAGTTGAAATACAGGCATTAGGTGATTCCTGTTTGTTTGATGATTCAGATTTTTGTGGTTTTAACTATCAAACTGAATCAGCCCACAATGTGTATAAAGGCATGTCATGTTCAAGCCCTAATTGTGATCTGTGCATGAGTTGTTGCTGCTGAGTTACCAGACCTTCAGCCTTATCGGATTGACACAGAGCAAGAACATTCAGGGACTGTGGGTTTTAACCTCCAGGTGAAAAGACCTTTGTCTTCAAAACTGACCTCTAAAGTGAGCTGTTAAAGCTGTAGAATCTAACATTCCAGAAGGCTGAAGGCACAGTACATAGGAAGATGGTCTTTTCAGAACCGTCGGCTGTGAAATCTTTATTCCCCTCATGCCCCGTCTGGGCTGTGTTTAGATGAAGCTTTGTTTTGTTGGTCTCCAGAGCCAGACAGCATGCCTGTTGAGCACTCTCCTTGTGCTCGCTGAAGAAGATAAACATGGGGAAACAGCTGCAGATACGGTTGATTGTTAGCTTTCTGTGTGTTCTAGTTTAAACTGAAGTTCAAAGCAGCAAAACTCTGGGCATCGCTGTTTTTTTGTGTGCGCCACAAGCAAAAAGGCTCCATTATGGACGAACAGGTGCACATTCTGAATCTGTAACATTTTATCAAATGCGAGTTTGAAAGCACGCTCTCAAAGGTAGAGACAGCTTAGCTGAAATACAGTCATTCACACCTGTGATGCTTATTTCTTTATAGCCAAGGAAACATTTTACTACAAAGCACCTCAACAACCGACACGACAACCAGGATGACCCATGTGGAAACCTATCTGTACCTTCACCACAATCCACCTTTGACCTGAATTAATTTGGAAGACTTAGGGCTTACACTTCTTCTCCTGGTTTGGGTTTAAGGATCCTCTTCTGTTGGAAAAAACCCACGGATTTCATGGAATGTGTTGTGTTTGTAGTTTAGGACCCCCTAAAGCTTATTATCTATGCACAACTGTGGACTAAAGGGTTTATTACAGTAAAAATATGTGAATACATCCTACTCCCAGTGTAATAAAATGATAAAGGGAGTTAGTATTACCAGATTCCCTCAGCAGACAACACAAACAAGAGTGATGCAGGTCAGGTGGGTGAGAGGACTGTGCACGAAAGAATAAGGTTAACAAATACTAGTTTTTTTACCTTTGTCAAAAAACAGGTTAGGAATTAAAATCCCATGAATATCACTTGCTCATATTTCGACTTTTTCCATTTCAGTTGGAAAGGAAAAGAAAAAAATAGCCTGTTAAATCATCGTTGCTGGGGCTCCTTCCAGTGTTGCTAAGTGTCACCCAACAGAGTTTCACAGTTTAGCTTGGAGTGCTGCTGGGATTCCTTCAGCGCTTTTAATGTTGTTGTGACTTGAGCCAGCAATTTAGTTAATTTTCTCCTTTTTTCCTTGTAAAAGCTTCAAACACAAAAACCAAAACGGACTAAGCAACTCATTTAACGATGCCAGTTCACAACAGTAAGAGACACGCACGTACAGTATACAGTCTTTGGCTCTTATACCCCTAGAGATGCGAAACAAAAATGATTTAAAGGCGCAAGATTTGCACTGTTGACCCCGTTTCAGACGTTCTTGTTTTTTCAAGAAGTTTTCCCTTAGCCTGGGATAAGATCACCCACGCACGGTGCTCTCATCTGAGTTTCTCCAGGCTGTGGACTTTTGGAAGCATCCAGACGTGCTTCATGTGCAGTGTACTAATCTGTCTGCTGCTCTGAACAATGCTTGTCTGAAGTGGCCTCTATGCTCGCCCTCCACCACCTGCTATGCCGTACACTTGCCAGGTCCAATTACTCTGATAACCCCGGTCTGGAGCAAATTACTCTGAATTGCTGAGGAGGAAGGGGTCTGTGGATTTGTACCCTGAATGTTAATGTCCGTTACCGTTATCTGCTATTCGCCTGTAAATTAGAAAACCCTGACTTACATCCTGTTTTTAACCCTTGTATGAATTTGTCAGTTATCTTTTTTGTGATCTACTGATTAGTATGGCTGATTGTCTTCCAGACACGTCTTCCTGCAGTGTGATATCTCTTGAAGACCTGGTTTGATTTCTGTATTTTCTGAGCACTATTAAGACATGCAAAGGCTTTGAATTATGTGTAAAGACTGGGAACGCAGCTTCCGGATCGAATGTGGTGGCTCAGTAAAACTGGTCGTACTGTCACTTTGGTTCTCCGAGATATTCACTTCGGTATATTTCAGGTCTTTCTTTTCTGTTGCTTTCTAACACTGGTTCTGAAAGATCACAAGCCTCTCAGGCACTTCTTAATTGAAAAGTCTCAGAGAATTTCAAACATTACAGTATATCAACAGGCGTTTCTGGCATACAAAGACATTTGATCTTATTATCAAATAATTGTGATTAGGAATTAGGAAACGTGATTGTAATTGTGCTTCCTAAACTTTGCCAGCTGTGCTGACTTTCATCTGTCTTTCATCATTACGAGGTGCTGTACTATGTGGACCAAACCTTGCTGCTGTATAGAATAGCCCAATACCTAGCTGAGGGAGTTCAAATAAATTCTCTAGATTCTCCACAAAGTACTACATTTTCTTTAAGCGGGTGTGATCCCCCTTCTTTTTTCTCCTGATTTTTGGCATGATCAAGATGGACTTGAAGTGCTAGCCTGCCTTCTTGAGAGTTATGATTCCTCTGCTGGCCCAGATGGTACATAAAATAATAAGAAGAGGAGCTCTTATACTGCTCTGTTCTCTTTAATCCACAGATATGTGTTAAAATGCTGTTTTCACGTTAAAACAGAGAGGTGGAGACTATGGTAATGGCTAACACAGTTTCATTTTTTTTTACAGTTCACCCTCTATTGGTTTTTAGGTAAAGCAGAAAAAAACAGTGTGAAATGAGAGGAATCCATTTTATTCATCTTGCTTTTTTGGTTGCTAGTTGCTTAATAGACCAAGCGTTCCATGTCCCTGGATTCTTGCATTGTTGTTGATCTTGAAGAAATCCCCTGCATTGATTTGATATTTGTTTGGATGTCGCACAAGGCAGTAAACTGAAATGCTCTGATCCAAAGTGATTATACACCTGTTTTCCTGTCCACAGGTCCAAGCCCAAGTGAGAAACACTAAGACCCAGTTTGATAAACTGAAGAATGATGTGTGTCAGAAAGTAGACATTCTGGGGGCCAGTCGCTGCAACATGCTGTCACATTCCCTTGGCAATTACCAGGTATATTCACGTTGCTGCATTTTCATACACTTATGTGAACTGCATGTCATGTGAAACATTACGCTGCTTTACGCTACAGAACATAATGTCTTCCACGATTAAAAGATGTTTGGCAGAACGGTCGGAACTTCCTAATAACCTGAAAGAACGGCAGAATTACAGCTCCTCGAACTATTTTTAGACTTTTGGCAACTCGGCCCCTCTCAAATTCGGGGTCCAGAAGTTCAAAGTACAAAATCCCAAGCAGTTTCACAAACAGACCTCACTTAAAATTATATTTCTCGTTGTTTTTTTAACGGTAACTGAAGTCTAGTTTCAACTGCCGCTTAAGGGGTTAAATACGTCAAGTTTGAGTGCCGTATGTTTTGTAGGAGTCTCTAACTGGAGACATGGTGATTCAATCCGATCAGCCCACAGTCGTCTGCTGAACCCCTGGGTCCAAGGCTTGGCGAGCTGCTGGGGCTCTTTGTTTTCACTCCAGTATAGCTATCAATACTTAAAATAGATCAATGATTGGAACCTGCAGGCTATAGGCCCATATGGCACACTGTGTGACTAATCCAGGATAATCATAATGCAACGTGAAGCACAAATGTTAAGGGTAACATTCATTCATATTTTTGAAAACAAGGGTGTTTTTTGGTGGGGGGAAAAGAAATCTATCTGAAATTCTAAATTTGTGAGGCTTATTGATCAGATTAATTCATCTGAATGATAATTAGTTTTCAAACAAAGATAGAATGAATTTGAGTTAAACAACTACCGGTGAAGGGCACCATGTTGTGTTCATTCACTGACTTAAAATGCTCCACTGTAATATTTCCTTTGAAATAGCAGGTGCCTTTCAAACCCCATCACCATCCAATTCCTTAAAACAGAGTAAGAATTCCTTAAAACGTACAATTTGAGAAGAACGATATGTGTAGTAGCTGAATTGTCAAACTAAAAGTTTTGTTTCCCTTGCAGACCATACAGCTTCACTTTTGGGAAAGAACAGCTCAAATGATGTCAGAGATACATGAAGCATTTAAAGGCTACATTCCTTATGAATTTACTACACTAAAGGTAAGTGTATATATTGATTTTTCTCTTTCATTTTCCTTTTGTATCAAAAAGTCTGGAATTGCCCATTGTTTCATCTTTTTGGATCCTCCCAATTGTGCGTTGCCAGGTCTAAATTTACTTCAGCTTATCCTCTAACGGTCATACCAGCCCAGGATGAGGACTGTTCTTGCCCTTCTCAGAAACGTGCGGGATCAAAGGCCCATGAAAGTTTTCCACAGTGAGTCCCTCAGTGCCCACAGCAGATTGGCACATCGGCACAGGCAGCGATATAGTTCTCATGGGCTACAGTGCTCTGCAAGACCATGGTCCAGGCAAGTCAGAGAATTAGCCATTAAGCGGGAAGCCAGTGATTCTCTGGCTTAGACGAGCTCACACAACAGTGTGCACCACCGCCTGAGAAATCCTGACTAATAAACAAAAACTAATAAAAAAAAAATGACTAATAAAAAAAAAGATTCCAGCCAGCAGAGTCCTGACTCTTGGGTTTAACCTGTCTTCTTACTGAGCCGCGCAGCAGTTCTGTTCATTGTAGTCTCTGATATCTACATCCAGAAGCTGGGGGTTTGATTGCATGAGTATTAATGCCACAAATGATGAACAAAAGCAAAGCAAGGTTCATGTTGCATTGAACACCCACAAGCTAAAAAAAATGTTCTTGTGAACAATGCCAGAGGTAATTAGTATTACCCTCCAAGTATTTTTAAACGTTGTGATGCTGCAGGGGGGTGCAGGGCTGGAATGTAGACGGTGCCTTCAAAACAAAGACACTCTCACAACTTTCAGACCGTTAATGCAACATGTTTATCACACCTTATGAAATGACATTCCATAAGCAAAAAGTCAACTGGGAGAATTATTTCTATGAAGACTAGAGAATTTCAATACAGTGGAGTAGCAAAAAAAACAAAAAAAAAGGAAAAGACTTGTCGCCATCGTCTTTTAAAGCTCTTTCAAAAGAAAAAAACAAAAACCAACAGCGTCTGGCTTTATTCGTCTGAGCCCTTGTTTCTTTTACTTTTTGTCCTTTGCTCTTCACATCCCATAAAATAAAGGAAAGCAGCACTTTTCGAACTCATAGCTATTCCTTTTACTACAGCCTCGTCTTGCTCTCTTTTTGTTCTCTCTCTCTCGAAGTACGGTTACAACTTGAGGCTGTGCATCTTTTATTTGAATCCTCTACTTTGAGTTTCTTACATTAGGAGTTTTTTTTCCCTCGTCCTATTTCTTCATACAATTTGTATTTGGCCATGGTGCACTTAGTTCTGCTTGATTAATTAGAACAGCTTTTAGGTTTGTACTCATAAGCAGCTGGCGTTGAAGTGAAGCAGTTATGGACTTTTGTTCCCTTGTTGTAAGACAAGAACAACATCTCTCTCTTGGGGCTGAACTTACATCGCCTAGGGAAGGTAGCACACCCGTGCCTTGATTGGAGTGCATCGTCCTCTGGGCGTTTTGCGTCACGGATCTCCCATTCTGCCATCTTGGTGTGGTTAAAACGACCAGTGAAGTCTAAGATTTCTTATAATACCACCTGTTGTTGACAGCACCCCTTGTGACATCACAGCGTCTTTTCTCTTTCTGTCCATAAACAGGATCTGCGGGACCCACTGGAAATGCTTGTGAATGATCCAGAAAAGGAAAAAATGGAGAACATACAAGATGACGTGGACAAGTAAGGAAAACCCATAGGGTGACAGTACAGGAATAGGGACATTGTTTAAAGTGAGGTTTATTTCTTTCTTTGAAGCCTAACAGGGAGTCTTGAGTCACTGAAATGCTGCACAGACATAGTTATTTTTATGGTTGTGGTATGAAGTCACCTCTTCCATTCAAAGTATTTAGGGAAGATTAAACTGACAACGAGAACTGATTTGGTTTGAATCAATGATAGTGTCTCTTAAAAACTAATGATAATTTTAACAGAAATAACCTTGTTGCCTATGCATTTCTACCATATATTTGCCAGTATGTAGCCACAATTGCAGAGATTTATGTACCTGCATTGTAAAACTAAATGAGTACGCTCTTTATTTGAAGGCTTTGCCTATAGGGGAACATGGGGTTAACACAAGGAAAAAGTCCAACCATTATTTTAAAAGTTTCAGCTAAAAATGACCATTGGGAGATTGATATTCTAGCCCTGGCTAGGATCCTAACATAAGAATGTATCAAGAAAATAATTGTTTGGTTAAGATGTCGTGACCTGGCCTCTGTTTTAGTTCCATGCTGTTCTTACTAAAGCTTCGCATTATGAATCATCTGCTTTCTGGTCAAACCGCATGGTACTTCTGCTCTAAGCCGGATCTGCAGTGCTTCTGTCACATGCGCATTCCACCCACGTAGCATACTTTTCTACACAGCCGGTAATCTACACTAGCTGCAACTCAGAAGTATATTCTATTCCGCTGTCGATCATAGCGATAACACGGGCCCTGCAACTTTCCCAACCAGGCTTTGTAATCAAACACCACCTTCAATAAATATACAGTGTTGAATGAATGAAATTATATTTAAATTCCAATATATTACTGTCATTTAGTTTGGGATTCAGATTTTTCCAGTGTTGTAAAGAAGGAGTTGCAGACCGATGTCAGACACGCATAGAAATTGCAGCTAGTGTAGGGCAGCCTTTAATTTGAGTTCGCTTTCATTATTTGACCTGCGTGCGTTTAACCCATTTCCTATAATTACAATTGCTTCTCTGCTGCAATTTCCTCATCCTTTCTTTGCTTTTCTTTTTGCGTCATCTTCCAGTTTTGTTTTCATCAAAAACCATGCTCATTTAAGAGCCCTCTTTAATCAAACGTAAGTAACTATACCATTACTTGCTGTCCCATTACTGACCATTACTTGCTTATTGGAAATGTGCTGATCATTGCTTTTAAGTCGTGTAATGTGCAATTAATCAGTTCATGTACAAACTGAATAGGCTTGGGTTTTAGTGAAACCCTCATTAAAATAAGTCGGTCCTGGAGCCAAAGAATGAGAATGAGGAGGACTTAGAGGCTGAGCAAAAAAAAAAATAAGGGCACGGATAAATAATTTGTCTTTCATTCCTTTGAATTTTATTTTTTAAAATAAGTTTGATTAATTTAAAACATTAATCAACTGTTAAGTCTAATCGGGGATGGTCGCAGAAGCTTCATAGTTGCAGACGTCTAGATCAGTGTTTCTGAGATGTGATAATTACCTTCTTGAATTCAAAGAGCACGAATTTGTTGATTTTCTCAAGTGGTAAAACAATGTGACAGTTTCCACATTGGAAAATCACCTTCTTATTTAGTAAGTTTAGGAAAGTCTCACAATTAACCATTTTTAGGGAAACATTCTGTTTGGTTCATGCAAAAAAATGTCACTTTTCGGTGGATTTGGCAGTAGTGTGTGGATTCCTGGGTCATTTAGGAATTCTACAAATTGCAGAAAACACATTAAGCCAAAAATCTGACTGTCCTGTAACGTTTGTGGTAATCATGCGTTTTAGATTGATTTTGCTGGATGAAGAGAAGCCTGTAGGAGCTGATTCAGAAACAGGTATGTGCAAAAATAAGGTGTCGGTGTCTCCTTTCCCTGGACCTGAAATACTTTTTCCTCAGAAATCATATTACATCATTTTTGTGTTTCATGTTTTCTGTATCTGTGTTTTGTTTGTCTTACAAGAATATTCTTTCTTTGAAATCGCAGTTAGAAGTCATCGCCTCTTCACTAAATCCCAGTAAAGCAAAACGTGTGTGACTTTCTGGGTATTGAATGTTTTTTTTTAAGTTATTAACCATAATGTTTAATCATAATTACTGTACACTGCAGCTCTTTTTTGTGGAAAAGAACAATTGGATACACTATAGTAAGCTAGAGAGTTTTATAGGTGTTTTACATTAAGGATTGTAATGTTAAATGAAAGCAAAGGCAAAAATATTAGTTTTAGAATGTACTTTTACCTGCCATTTAAAGTATTTTTTATGCTTTTCCTCACAGGAAATTACTTTAGTCCTTAAAATTATGGCTTTTAAAATTGACAAGCTGGTAAACTGGTTTCATTGGTTTCCAAAAAGAACAGAAGACAAAATAAGAGTTTTATGTTTTTGGGCATTTTTAAAATAATTTGTCTTTTGGTTTTAGCCCAAAGTGCTGATGGACAAAGCAAGGATACAGACAGCTCTTTGTGTGCCAGCTTGAACTCTGGTAAGCAAAGAGTGACAGGTTCTTTCTCACTAAGTACAGATTTGCTTGCTTTGCATTCACATGCATAATGTAAACAAAAATGGAACTAGTCAATTTGCATCTGTGATATTGCGTGAAATATACAGAAAGAGAGGTTAGTGGTCTTTTCCTCTCTGTCAACGCAAGTAGCATATACACTTTTCATGCATCTAATTCCAGAACAAAAAGGAAGATTTAAGCCCACAACTTCTGGGGGGTTTGCTGTCAAAACACAGTACACAGGAGCTACTGAATTTTCAGTTGTTTTTTCGATACAAAGGCATGATAATCCAAATATAATTCATTTCTATGTTTTTTTCAGGCAATTTCTTGACCTAGACAGAGCAGAAAAGTAGCCGTATTTTGTACCTGTATTAAATTCTTCTCATTGTCTGCGTCACCTTATTGTATATTGTAGAGCTAATAATCTTGAGACGCAAAAACCTAATTTTCATTGCCAGAAGGTGCTTTTTAATTTTCTTAATTGGCCTAGGGTTTGATTATGGCTAATGTTCTCGGGAGCTTTTCAGCCAGGAGTTCTGGTTTCTTCAACCAGCAACTGAAGACATGCTGACTGAGTTAGACTGCCGCTTCTAAATTTTCCCATCATTCACATTGCTGCGGTGGATCTCTGTGCTGTTCGGGGAGAAAGCAGTCGCGTGCTCTCGGGCCTGCAATGATCCTCACCAGGATAAGGCTACTGATAAGAGATGGGCGCTTTCTGTTTTAAGTAACACCCGACGTCCTAACACGAAGGGACTGATTGCCAGCAAACCCCTGTTGTTAAGAGCTGCCGAGCCTGGCTTATCGATCATGTGAACTAACAGGTAGACCGAGCGACACGGCGAAGACACTCACAGAGGCTGCTGATGACGACCTGCTAATGATTCTCGACACCCTCAACACCCCCTCCAGCCCCACAGCCCCCTGGAGTCCGGTCACACAGTTCTGTGACATGGGTAAAGAAGGCCATTGGTTCTCTTATTCTGGTGGTGGGCACTAAGTGAAACATCTTCTACCCTACCAGAGGGAATTCCTGCTTTCCTCTTTAGAATTTTTATTGTAGCATTTTCGAGCCTGCTTACTGTACATCTTATAGAGACTCTCATCTTGACTTCTCACCTGTTGTTCCTACGTCATCACATCTGCGCTACAAATATTGCATCTGCTTCCCAGAAATCCCTTCAATATTGACATTGAAGTTCTTTTTATTACCGACAAGGCACTTCACCGGCTTTGGCCTGAGTGTCTTCCAGAACAGGACTTCTTGAGTGTTTTCTAGCTCATCTCTTGAGATCTTTAATGGAGGATCTTTCTGATATTGCCAGAATTTCACTGACTGTAAAAATGACGGTGTTACAAATGCTGTTCATAGCTTTGGGCCACAGCATATATCGAATACCAGAACACCTTTCACATTAAAGGTGATAATTTGATAAAGTAATGTGAAAACTGTAAACATACTATACTGAATTCTACTGGGATTCAGATTTTTCCAGTGTTGTAAAGTGATAGTGTGTGAAATTCCAAACCACTAAGTAAAAAGTGTGTAGTATGAAAGTACTTGAATTCCAGGTAAATAGCAAAACATAGATGCAGAGGCTTTTAATAAGTGTTTGTTACGGGGGG